TTGGCCATAACTTTGTTAGTCTCGTGCGGAAAAAAATCATTTTTTGTGGAAACATTGGTAGAAATAGGCTGAATCTTTTCGTGACGAAGTTCGGAAAAAAGTTTCGAATTTTCGCCAACTTTGGATCTAAAAATCTCTGTTGTTTCTGCAGAACGCAAGCTCGGATTCTCGCACATATTTTAAAAAAAATTATTCTAAATTTATGCCAAGTTTCATCAAAATTTGAGCGTCGCACTTGGGGTACTTCTCTTGTAAGCGTTTCTGAGCAAGGTCCGAAAACTTGGCATGTCAGCAAAAGCAGATTTCCGCAAAGTGTTCGGCACTCAGGATCTCTTACGCAATGTAATCCTTGATAAACGACAACGCTGATAAGTAACAATGCCTTTTGGCATCTTTTTTAAATCGTTTGTTAGTCAAGCACTGTTCCAAATCATCTTCATTCTATCGCTATAAGCCCCTCAACGCCTAATGCCCTTTGCCCACTCCCAACCACCTATTCTCGTCCTCCACACCCAATTCCAGTCCAGTCCACTGACCCCGAATGTCATTCGCGAACCCTCTTCGTGATGATGTAGGAGAGATTGGAGCGGCGCCGACATGGGCCGCATAACAATAAATTCCGAAGCGAGAATCTTTTTAACACAAACATCTTTTGAGGCGAGCAAAATAAATTTGAAAAAACCCGGGTGCCAAACTCTTTCCTTTTTTAATTCGAAGCCATTGGAACTCCCTCCTCAAATTGACAGAGTAAAAAAGTTTGTGTGTGGAGATGAAGTTCCAAATGTTTTCCTCCTCCCCCAAACCGAATTCGATTTGAAGGCGATGCAAGTCAGGCACTACACCCATCCCTGCTGATAATATATGTACCCGTGGGCGTTGTTTTCGCCCAAAGTCATCACATTTTACTATACAACCAGGCCCATACTGCAAAGATGGCGGAAAATCTTGGCTCTACTTGCAAACCGGCAATGCAAAAAGCTTTAGGAATGCAAAAGCTAGCGTAGTAAAACCAACACACTTGATACCATATGGCGGCACTTGGTATCATAAACAAAAATTTCATAGTTTTTTCGACCATCGTGATCGTTAATTTACTCGTAAAACCAAGGGTCCTCAGTGCCAAAACATTTTTATTTTCGGCTATAACTCAAAATGAAAAATTGATAAAACTTATAGCCTGGCTTCCGGAACCCAACAATGCAAAGCCTCCAAAAAAGTCTGGATTTTCCGAATTCCCTTTCCCGCAGATTCAATTTGGGTCGCCGGTCCCGGAGGGGCGAGTATTTACGATTAAAAATAGCCAAATCACTTAATTCAGTTCAATAAACCTGGTTACAGAGACGGCTTGCAGGTAATTTTGTTAGGGCAATCGTACATTCATGACGCCATAAGGACAAACAAACGTCAGAAGTTGGAAAGGGACCACCAAATATCATCGAAAACAATGGTTATGATTGCGAACAAACGGTAGCTTGAAAAGGCCAGAATTACTTGTACTTTTTGTCACCACTCTCTTTCTTTTCGTATGTTTGAGACTTGTGTAATAACATATTCGGCTTGAAATTGAGTTACTACGAAACTGGAAACTGAGTTAGAGAATATAGCTATACAAACATATACTAGTAATAAGTTTCCTTCTTTTGTCATCATCCTAATTTATTGCCGTTTTCCGCGCCTATGTAGACGTCTACGAAGGCAAAGTTCATCTCCATATCCCTTATTTACAGGATTGACAAGTCGGGATCTCCCCCCGAAAACAAAGAATCTCTTTGTTTTTTTTGAAGAGATTATAAAAATTCAGTAGACCAAGTGGGAATAGCCGGAAGCAATTTTTGAAGAGTTCAGAAGTCGGGGCTACAGTGACCCTAAAGTATAAAGTTTATAATTTTCTTTTGAAAACAAGTCTTGGCTCTTGAAAGGCAATCAGTCAGGATGATATCAAAACACGAGGATTTGGGATGTAAACAAGATAAGATTTGTTGTTGAACATGGCGTTGGACTAAAATAAAATCAAAGTCAGAATGTCTACGTGATGTGGTGAATTTAGTGCAAGTTTGGCGAAATTGTTGAACTAACTAGGGAAGTGTACAAACTGAACCGCACCAAATGACAAGTGAAATACATCATTGAAGAGCCCTTGAGAAGTGGCACAAGACAACATTTTCATTAATACTTTTCAAGGTTTCCGAACGGTATATAACACCCGCTATTTGGTGAGGGTCAGTTTGTACACTTCCCTACTAACAAAGGAATGGTCTGAAATTCCCCCAGCGACTCGGAAAATGACTATTACACGTGGATAGAGCAGGTCAACTTTGGCAAAAAGAGCCATTTTCCAGCAGCGGAATAAGCCCGGCAGACGAGAAAAATCGTCCGAAAGTTCCACCAAAATTTTCTCTTTCTCTTCCCTCGGAAAGGAAGAGCGATGTCCAGTGGTGCTCTGCCCACCTGTACTAGTCATTTTCCCAAACGCCGGAGGAAGTTCAGACCATTCCCTTGTAAGGACCTGTTCGAGGTGAAAGGCGCAAGCTTTTCTTTTAAAATTCCGCACCCTTGATCTACATAATACCCACTACAGTGCCATAGAATTTTGGTTTGAGCATAGCAGAAGCTACGAAAAGATTCAAGGACCTTTGAAAGCAAGGGACTAGGGGAAAAGAAGAGACCAGTTAAGTTAAAACAAAAATTTTTTTGGTTATGTTTCAAATTTTGCGTGAGGAATGCTGACTATTTTCTGAAGTGCCCTGAGCAAAACGCGCATAGATTTGCCGATTCTACCGAGCTTCCAGAACCCTAAGGCAGTTATTCCTACCAAACCCAGACATATAATAAATACCAGATCGTCTGGAATCTCAGGAAAAGATTACCCACCTCTGATTGGGCCCACAAAATCTTTGGCCCTTCTTCCAAAAGAAGCCTCGAAGTAACCGCCCCAAATGTCGCGAAACCCTACAAAAAACGACGATTATGCTAATCGTCTCCAAAACAAATTATCCCCACAAAAAACAACATCTAACAACGGCGTGAATGGCGATACCCAAATTCACAACTCGAAAACAACACCCGAAAAAGGGCTCGCGAAAATAACGGAAAAACGACAAATGCGGGAACACGAGGACGTCCTAATGTAGCTTCGGCGGAATCAGGGCTGCGTTAAGTGTCCAATAAACCCCCACACTCAAAGGGACCGAGGAACGCCCGCTCTGCATTACAGCCTTTATTTCGTTGTTTTAACTGCGCCGTTAAAAAGCCCCGCGAATATTTCTGGGCCTACATTCTTTGATTTACTCTGACAAATGGGGTGATTTCATCTCCTTACATTTTGTGAACAGTTAAAATGTTTTTAACAAATCCCTCTTAAATTCTATTCTCTTTAAAAGTTTTAAAAAAACGTTGAAATCCCGACAATTAAAAGCCTTTTAATCTCTCGAACTTTGTATTCCAATGGCACGAGCCAATCGCATTCATCAAAAAGGTTCGTTTTTTTCAGCGCTGTTGACCCAACACTTGCAGATTCTTTTGAACAAAAGTCACTTTATCCACCCCATAAATCTAAGAACAAAGTGGTAGCATTCTCCAGAAGCTTTCGCCAATTTCAGGCTATTCTCCTGTCAGCATCATCATAAGAAATTGAAAAATTGGTATACCTGTTCTTTCTCTGGCCAGCGCTCTTTGTTTTACGTGCTCTGGCACTGGTAAAGACTGTTAAATTTCTCAGCTGAGCCTGCAAAGCGCAGACTAGCTTTTTTAGCTGACAGGGGAAGTACCCCATGTGCGACGCTCAGATTTTGATGAAACTTGGCACAAGTTTAGAACAATTTTTTCTAAGATATATGCGAGAATCCTAGCCCGCGCTTTGCAGAAACAACCGAGATTTTTAGATCGAAAGTCGGCGAAAATTTAGGAATTTTTGCCGAATTTCGGCACGAAAAGTTTCCCGCCTATTTTGTACCGTAAAGAATAATGTTTCTACAAAAAATCAAATTTTTCCGCATGAAACTGCCAAAGTTATGGCCAAAAAGCGCTTTTGTCTCTGACCGCTCTTCACGTTTAGCGTGCTCTCTCGGCGGCAAAAATCGTTCGATATCTCGGCGGCGCCCGCAAACCGCGAGCTAAAACTTTCAGGAATTGATATTTAGTCCCTACCCGACGTCTGTGCAAAATTTAAAGAAAATCTGAGCGTCGCACTTGGAGTACTTCCCCTATGAGTTGTAGGTCTACGCATTCATTTTTCTCATCACTTACAACTCCTCATTGTAAGATAAGATATCTTACTGTCTCTACGGCCTTCCAGCTCATCGTTTTAGCCCTTTCTAACCTTCAAACTACCGTATAACCCCCCAACTTTTCATGCCAACTGATTTACAAGCCCTCTGATCAAACCACTGCCCTTCCCAAAATAACCTCCGTCTTGAGCTGACTCTAAAATTCGAATACTTCCTGATTGTCTTCGCTCTCGAAATTCAAAAATAAATTCTCGGCCCAAGGCGTTTTCGTCTCCGATAAAACAAGATGGGAGGCAGTGTGGCAGGTAATAGATCCGAGAACAAGTGGGGGATAATTTGTCAGACCAGAAGAATGGGCAAAACAATGGGCCTGGGCTGTGTTTTAATGGCCGTGATGTCACATGAAATATAATGTGGATTTGTTTTTAGGAACAGATAAGTAAATTCCAATGGAGAAGAAAAGGGTTCAAGAGAGGTCAAGAAAAAGTTTGTTGAAAAAATAGATTCAAATTCACAAGGGAAATGCCCTAGAGGCGACGCTCAAATTTTGATGGAAGGAACCTGAAATTTAAACTTTTATTTTTGAGATTGCCAAAATTTATTGCGGTCTTTGAAAATTCAGTGTAATTTTTCTCCCCTGTTTCATTGAAATCTCAGCATCGCATCTTGAACAAACATCTCCGATATAAAGATATTTTTTATTTATTGGCTTATAGTATAAGAGTTAGGGCAGCTTGAGTTTATAGCACATATATGTATGTATCATTTGACATCTCAGTTCTCCATGTGACACCGTCCAGCATCTTGACAGACCTGTCTAGATGTTGCGGCTTTATTCTTCTCAAACGCTGTCAATATTCCATTCAACGATTCCGCTGTCGTGTTTCTACAAATTTCTCTCGATCTTGACTCCGTAACATGCTCGCAAATATCCTGAAAACCCCAGATAACAATATAATTCTTCAAACGTTAACATACAGTACTCACAAAAAAGACTACTTTACCTTCATCACATCAATCGGGGACTTCCGATTCCCTTTTTTCAATTCATCCACAAACGGAAGACATAAACGGCATGACGCTTCGCCCCAGGGGTTTTTTATCTTGATGCCAGAAATTGCCACAAAAAGACAGGACAGTAAGATGTGTGGTAGTAAGTGCATAGTAAAAGTGGGAAAATGCACGTCGAATGGACTTTATTGTGTTCCTCCAAAGTGTTCATAATGGAACTCCTTTTATACGGAGAGTAAACAAACAAAAAGTTTTCAATGCCACTTTGAGGATTCAATTTTTTGTCTCTTGCTGTGTATGAGTAATCAAAAATTCAAGAATTTCAAGTAAGAGGTATAAGTGTTCTCTTGAATTATTTTATTCAATTTGCAATATGATTTTTAGTCAGAATCAAACAGACCTTCAGCAGAGTGTAACATCTTTACAGGCATCTCTGGACGGGAAGTCAGCGTGGGCGTGGCTCAGGAGGGCAAAAAGATCGTTGAGGAAGCCGTAGGGGAAGAAGGCGGTGCACGCCCAACTTAGTGGAAATGGTTCGGTGTCGCAAACTCGCTGGAATTGGCCGGCGGTATTATCATTAACAGGGGAAGTACTCCAAATGCGACGCTCAGATTTTCTTTAAATTTTGCACACACGTCGGGTATGGACTAAGTATCAATTCCTGAAAGTTTTCGCTCGCGCTTTGCGGGCGCCGCCGAGATACCAAACGATTTTTGCCGCCGAGAGAGCACGCTAAACGTGGAGAGCGGTCAGAGAGAAAAGCGCTTTTTGGCCATAACTTTGGCAGTTTCGTGCGGAAAAATTTGATTTTTTGTAGAAACATTATCCTTTACGGTTGAAATAGGCATGAAACTTTTCGTGCCGAAATTCGGCAAAAAGTCCTAAATTTTGGCCGACTTTGGATCTAAAAATCTCGGTTTTTTCTGCAAAGCGCGAGCTAGCATTCTCGCATATATCTTAGAAAAAATTAGTCTAATTTTATGCCAAGTTTCATCACAATCTGAGCGTCGCACTTGGAGTACTTCCCCTGTTAGTCAAGAAGAATTTACAAGGAACCCTCGGAGGGCAACGACTAAATCTTTTCAAGGTTTTTCTTACCATACCCTACATAGGCTATGCAGAAATTTTTTTGATCATAATTTTGCAAATTGAACGCAAAAACAAAACAATTTTTGCAAATTGAACGCAAAAACAAAAATTTTTGAAGACATATTGTTACTGTAAAGCACAAACAGAAAGCCGATTTTCGGTCTTCCTAATTTCTATGTAATATGTGACATATTTCGACAACGTGCGACAAAAATTACCATGGCTTCTGAAAAGCGCAATTTGAACTCTGAGGTGTATATTCATATAGACATATTCCTTTTCTTTATCAGCTAAAATAACGATCTCACTTTACCTGCATAGCTTCATGGATCTTCCCCGACACATCGCCGGTTTCGTCAATCAATTCTTTCAGTTCATCAGCAACTTTAATGCAGACAAAACAGACCCAATCTGGATAACCCAGTAAGACTAAAGCGTCGGGAGACGATGCGTTTCTCGTGGCAAACGCATTGCAAACGCAGAAGAGCAGGAAAACAGTCGCGACTCTCATTGTAAATGTTTTACAAACTGATCGCAATGGAGTGCAATATATAACAAAATAATATCCATTAAATTTTATATGAGGACTAAGAGAATGTAATGATTTTAATTTCACAGTTCTGTGCGAGATTAAAAACTGGCTGTATGTATAATCGATTTGTCTGTTAATGAAAATTGTGGAGTGTAAACGTGCATGTATTAGGGTGAACCAAAAGTTTTTGCCGTTTTTTCATGAAAACTTTAAACATAATTTTACAACAAATGAAAACCAGTTAAGTTTCAAAGTAAAGGCCATTTGAATCTATGGCTTGAACCCATCTATAGGCAAGTTGTTCGATCCCGCTGCGGTACCACTCCTTTTTCTTAGAAGCGAAAAACTCGCGGCATCCGTCTTCGACATCGTCCAGATCATTGAAGCTACGACCACGCAAAAAGTGTGCCATGGAGCGGAAAAGGTGATAGTCGTATGACACAAAGTCCAGACTATTCGCTGGATGTGAAAGAAGTTCAATGGCGTCGAGAGTTTTGATCTTTTCCTTCGTTTGTTTGGCGGTGCGAGGTTTTGCGCTGTCTTGTTGCAGGGGTACGCGGGTTCGATTGATCAAATCGGGATATTTTTTGCCAATCGCTGCATACATTCGATTGAGTGGAGCGTAGTAGAGGTCTGCGTCAATAGTCCGACCATTTGGAACCAACTCGAAGTGAATTACGCCTTCAAAATTGTTTTTTAAGATGTCTTGCCCTCGAGGTCCGTGTCGCCGTAGTTGAATCGTTTGAACCAATCGCGCAGTACGATCTGAGACCACATTGTAGCCTTCAACTTCGCTTATCTTCTTTACTGCTGCAGTTGCGTTGAAGCCTTGTTTTCGGTAATAACGTAAAAAAACACGAATTTCGGATTTTTCCTTGTTTTTTCTACAGGTTAAAAGATTTTAAATAAAAGACCAATTAAAAGTTTTAATATATATTATGATAAAGCAGTTCACGACCTTTAAAAATATATATAACACATTCATATAAAAATATTTATTTCGTAAAAAAACAATTGGACAAAAAGAGACCTAAAAAACGGCAAAAACTTTTGGTTCACCCTAATAGGAATAGAAAAGTATGATCAACATCAATGGATAATATCGCAGATATGCTATTCACATACCTGTGTCATTTTGATCAAAGTATACATTTCCAGAAGCAATATCTTTCCCTTTGAACCACAAATAAACCTTAGTATCCGGCAAATTTAATAGACGTGAATATATATGAATATAAACGTATAATTAGCACAAATGGACCTCATCGCAGATATAAGTAATGTTATTTTTATCGTTGGCGTTGACCAAAAGCTCCGCCATCCTCTGACTGGTTGGCCAAAATCCCCACTTGCACGGCCATCTAAGGAACTCTCCAAAAATTCTCACGCAAATTTTCTAAAAGAAAGATTACAGCCCTACAGAACTCACTACGGCTAATGTTTTAATGGCTTCTTCGGTGTCTTCTGGTGTGCCTATTGTACCCTTTAATTCATCCATTACGTCTCTACAATCATCACACGACAACATTTTGAAGGCTTCTTGATTCACAGCTCCATTCTTCGCAACCAAAGTGTGCTTGCTCAAGCTGTTCATTGCCGGCGGGCATCCCTTCAAAGCATTGTCGACAGTTGCGCCAGCAAGATAGAGAGCGCCGAAGATGACTAAAAAGGACCTCATTTCCAAAACTGATATCTTTGTAATCTTGCCCAGTGTTTATATAGTCAGAAATAATGGTAATTTTTAAATAAATTTCAGAAACATTTGACGCGTTTATTGCTATTTTTTGCTTTTTATTAAAGTTTTTATAGAAAACTAAGAGCTTATTGTATTTTGCTACATTTTTTGATGCTTCCCGGATGCAAAATGATACTTTTTTTGCCACTGGATCAGGTCCGACACTGTAATTACGGTTCTGGATTAAATTTCTTAAAAAAAATTCAAACTTACAACAAAAAATCGTAAAATGAAGTCTTGGGTGTTGCCAGGCTACTTGATTACTGTTATAACCACTTTTCAAACGGCCTGGAATTATATACCTGTCTGTCGGGAAAATAGTGGCGGGTCATCGAAGCAAAATGTACACACCCTTTGAGAATAGGCCACAGAGCGATTTTTGAAAACTTCAGCTCGAACTTTGTAGCCGCAGCCGAGGTATTAAACGATCTTCGTAGCCGAGAGAGTACGCGAAACGCGGAGGGCGGTCAGGGGTAAAAACAATTTTTGGCCATATGTTGCCAGTTCCGCAAGCAAAAATCTTATTTTTCATGTGAACACTCTCTATACGTTAGAAAATAGGCATGAAACACTTTTAATCCCCAAATTTGCAAAGATTTGTCGATTTTTATCCAACTTACAGGGGAAGTACCCCAAGTGCGACGCATAGATTTTGATGAAACTTCGCCTAACTTTTGAATAATTTTTTCTGGGATATATGCGAGAATCCTGACTCGCGCTTTGCAGAAACAACCGAGATTTTTATATCGAACGTCGGCGAAAAGTTGACACTTTTTGCCGAATTTTGGCACGAAAAGTTTTATACTTAATTTGGGGCAATGTTCCAACAAAAAATCAATTTTTATGTGTGCAAAATTTAAAGAAAATCTGAGCGTCGCACGTCAAACTGAGATAAGCTAAAACGGTCAGGTGAACGGATTGGCAATTAGCCAAAAAAGAAGCAAAAAAACTTTCTTGTCGGAGAAGAAATGGGGAGTTTTTAGGGCGAGAGAGTACGCTTTTGCTCGTCTTTTCTCTGACTTCTCTGTGAATTCAAGACGAAGTGTAGAAAACCGATAGCGAAGGGTCTATTCCGGTCACCGGACTCCTCAGTTTGACGTGCGTCGCGCTTGGCGTACTTCTCTTGTTAGTGCCAAAAAGTCTCGGCAGTTTCCCCAAAGCGTGCGCAAGGCGCGCCTAGGCGTCTCGCATATGTCCTACGTTTGAAAAAATTATTCCATATTTGCGTCAAGTTTCATAAAATCGGAGCGTTCACTCGGGGTGCTTCCCCCTGCGAACCATAAATTAACTTTACAAGGGGTCGGCAAATAGTTGCACCCTGCTTTCTTAACGAAACCTATATCATTTAAAAGAGCATTAAAAATAGTGCACAGCGCAAAAAAAATTAGCTGCCCAATATATGTTTGGGCAAAGTTATGGCCTAAATACAGATTTTAGCCTAATTTCCGCGTCACTTTATAAGCTCTTGGAACGGCAACAAAGTTGTGTCCAGTTGGCCGAGTGGTAGTGACCTCACTTCCGGCGAAACAGGTCGTGGTTTCGAAGCCGGGCGCTGCAATTTTTTTTGCATTTCGTCTCTTATATGCCACAAAACCATGGTATGTTGATATTTTTAAATAATTTTTGTTCCTTCGCAGTCAAAATACATTTTTACGGAATTTTTTCGAGTTTTTGGTTTTTTTGCTACCACCACAAATTTGATGGTGATGAGAGTGGGGATTCCTATCGTATAATTACAAGGGTGTCATGCCTTTACCCTGACCGATTATGATTACTGGACGATAATTCAATTTACAAGGGCCTATAAATATAATTTTTTCGAAAAAAATACGAAGAGAAAATTACAAAAGCGGCCAAAACACTATTGCTGACACAGTGGCCTAACCATCGGTAAGGCTAGGACAATAAATTTTTGATTTTCAGATTTTTGTTTGTAAATGGCCACGACGATCATACAAATGAATTCTCAAAGTTTTTTGCTCCAGTTTTCCCATTAACCTAGTTTTATTTACAATTTTTTGTAAATGGCAGTAATGCGACATTATAATGTCTAATAACTCATAACCAAGGATTGATAAAGCGATGAAACGACCGTGATAGACGTTTCGGGATACTAGTAAGAAAATGGAGACAATTTCAAGCCGCCAGGATTACTGTAATAGAAGAAACCGGCGTTTTGGCCGCATATAACCCTTATCATAAAACGGCCATAACTTTGCCCAAACATATATTGGGCAGCTAATTTTTCCTGTGTTGTACACTATTTTCAATGCTCTTTCAAACGGTATATGTTTTGTTAAGAAAGCAGGGTGCAACTATTTGCCGATCCCTTGTTAGTATCCGGCAAATTTAATAGACGTGAATATTATATGAATATAAACGCATAATTAGCAAATATTGATGGTATCGCAGATGTAAGTAATGTTGTTTTTATCTTTGGCTTCCACCAACAACTTCACGATGAGTCTATTGAGTGGTTCAAATGCTAGCTTGCACGGCCAAAACAACAAAATTCCAAAAGTTGCCTCGCATTCTCTCTAAAAGTATTTTTATTTTTACAACCCTATTGCAAAACTCACGTCGAATGCTTCTTCAACAGCCTCTTCGTCGTTTTCTATTTTGCCTATTGCACGCTTTAATTCCTCCATTACGTCTTTACAAACACCACACAACGGGGTGCTCAGCAACATTCTGAAGGCTTCTTGATTCACGGTTCCATTCTTCATAACCAAAGTGTGCTTGCTGTTCATTGCCGGCGGGCATCTCTTCAACGCGTTGTCGACAGTTGCGCCAGCAAGATAGAGAGCACCGAAGACGACTAAAAAGGACCTCATTTCCAAAACTGATATCTTTGTAATCTTGACCAGTGTTTATATAGTCAGAAATAATGGTAATTTTTTAATAAATTTCAGAAACATTCGAGGCGTTTATTGCCACTTTTTGCTTTTTATTAAAGTTTTTATGGAAAACTAAGAGCTTTATTGGAATTCAAATTTGTAAAAAAATGTTTATTAAACTTGACTGCATACATTGATTCTTTAATATTATTATTCAAGCCTTTGCGGAAAATTTTAATTATTCCGAACGTGAAATTTTTTGGTTAAAGCCAGAAGAGCTTCAAAAAATCTAATCTTGCCAATCTAAAAACACGTTCTCCTTTAATTTCGCTCCGTGCTCAATCTTACTGTAAATTTTTATGTGTACGCCAGATGCATTTTGCGATGATTCCAACCGAAAACCATGCCCGATAACTGATACGAAACTGACTGGTCGAGTTTGTAAAAGTAAGGGCATCACTATCGCCTGGACTGTGAAAGTGCAATTTAGTGATTAGGCTGAATATGACTTTTTCAAGAGTGCAGTAGGCATTTTTGGATTTTCGGTCTCGACAGCTGATAAATACACAGTAGCCTAATAGTAAGACATAGAAGAGTTGAACCTATCCAGCGGAGGGTTTGATTCGTCCGCTTAAGACAGTTTTGAGAAGATTCCAAAAGTCCGAGAACGTGTTTGAGAAAGATATATGAACTTTATTTTTCAGAAGACTTGCCTCGCAACGTCCTAACTTCGCAATCTTGGTTCAAACCCCCGCCGGTCCCGTAGTATTTATGTATTAAGGCATCTGCTCTCCAAACCTCTTTTGACTTACAGGGGAAGTACTCCAAGTGCGACGCTCAGATTTTGATGAAACTTGGCACATTTAGAATAATTTTTTGGGGCTTCGGTAGTTGAGCCCCCCACGAAAGGTAGTTCAAACCCCCACTGTTTTGCCCGTTTCACACCCCACATAATGAACAAATTAGAATAATAAAAAAAATGTAAGTGGGGGTTTGATCTAAAACGTACGGGACTTGGCCTAAAACGTAGGGGGCTTTTTCTAAAACGGAGGGGGCTTCATCTAAAACGTAGGGGGCTTGTGCTGGACCATAAAACTTGGATTAATTCTTTGAAATAAATTTTGGGGTTGAGAATGGACGAGGGGGGTTGTACTGGGTCATGGGGGGCTAAACTGGACTGGGGGGCTGTACTACCTTAGCCCCAATTTTTTCTAAGATATATGCGAGAATCCTAGCTCGCGCTTTGCACAAAAGGATGGCGTTAGAAAGAAGAAGAACTTTAAACGTATTGAAGGCCTTTTGATTCACGGTTCCATTCTTCATAACCAAAGCGTGCTTGCTCAAGCTATTCACATACCTATGTCAATTTGATCAAAGCATACATTTCCAGATGCAATAGCTTTCCCTTTGAACAACAAATAAACCTTACGATTAGTATCCGGCAAATTTAATAGACGTAAATGTATATGAATATAAACTTATAATTAGCACAAAAGGATGGTCTCACAGACGTAAGTGATGTTATTTTTATCATTTATATCAATTATTGTGTCCACGATGAGCTTATTGAGTGGTTCAAAGACTAGTTTGCATGGCCAATACATCAAAAATCCAAAAGTTGCCTCGCATTCTTTCTAAAGGTATTTTTATAACCTTATTGCCTTGTTGCAAAACTCACATTGTATGCTTCTTCAACAGCCGCTTCGGTGGCTTCCATTATTCCTATAAAACGCTTGATATCCTCCATTACGTTTCTACAAGTATTACACAACGGGGTCGTCATCAACATTCTGAAGGCTTCTTGATTCACGGCTCCATTCTTCGCAACCAAAGTGTGCTTGCTCAAGCTGTTCATTGCCGGCGGGCATCCTTTCAACGCGTTGTCGACAGTTGCGCCAGCAAGATAGAGAGCGCCAAAGATGACTAAAAAGGACCTCATTTTCAAAACCGATATCTTTGTAATCTTGGCCAGTGTTTATATAGTCAAAAATAATGTTAATTTTTTAATAAATTTCAGAAACATTCGAGGCGTTTATTGCCATTTTTTGCTTTTTATTAAAGTTTTTATGGAAAACTAAGGGCTTTATTGGAATTCAAAATTGTAAAAAAAATGTTTGACTGCATACCTTGACTCTTAATGTTACGTGAAATTTTTTGGTTAAAGCCAGAAGAGCTTCAAAAAATCTAATCTCGCCAATCTAAAAACATGTTCTCCTTAAATTTCGCTCCGTGCTCAATCTTACTGCAAATTTTTATGTGTACGCCAGGTGCATTTTGCGACAATTCCAACCGAAAACCAACCCGATAACTGATACGAAACTGATTGGACGGGTTTGTAAAAGTAAGGGCATTACTGTCGCCTGAATTGTGAAAGTGTCCCAAACCCATTTGGCGTGTTAAGTAAACCTGTAGGGCTTGCTCCTGCTGCGCAAGCCCTTAGTCCAATGTCTATGAAATCGCCAACTCGTTACCCAAAGCTACTAGAGAACGTGAAAGAAACTGGAATATGTACACCCCAATCCTGTACCCTAATACAAGACGGACGAAGTGCCGAAAGGGGGCGGGAGACCCCCTGGGTTGACGTGCCTTGTCTCTCAGGGCAATACCGGGATCATAATCGAGGCTTCACTTTTATTTTAATGTCGGGGTGTATAATATTTTTCGTTTATGGGCTTTTAATCAGACCGAACATTTTTGAATTCTATTCTCCATGTGACACCGTCCAGCGTTCAAGATGTTCCGTCTTTATTATTAAATTTCAAGAAAATTCCGATGGAAAAAAAGGATTCAAGTGAAGTCAAGGAAAAGTTTGTTAACAAAATATATTCAAATTCACAGGGGAAATGCCCTAGGGGCGATGCTCAAATTTTGATGGAAGGAAGCTAAAATTTAAATTTTTATTTCTGCATAGCGCTTGTCAAAAATTTTTGTGATCTTTGAAAATTACGTGTAATTTTTCTCCCCTGTTTCATTGAAAGCTCAGCATCGCATCTTGAGCAAGCATATCCTATATGTAGATACTTTTTGTTTATTGGCGTATAGTATTATAAGAGTTAGGGCAGCTTGAATTTTTAATACATATATATGTACGTATCATTTGAGATTTCAGTTCTCCATATGACACCCTCCAGCATCTTGACAGACCTGTCTAGATGTTGCGGCTTTATTGTTCTCAAACACCGTCGATTCCGCTGTCGTTTTTCAACAAACTTTTTTTGATTTTGACTCCGTAACATGGTCAAAAATATCTTGAAAACCCTCAGGTGGAACAATACCAGAAATTTAAGATACAGTACACACGAAAAGGTCTACTTTACCTTTATAAAATCAACCGGGGTCTTCCGATTTCCTTTTACCAATTCTTCCACAAACGGAAGACATAAACGGCATGACGCTTCGCCCCAAGGTTGTTCATTTTGACTCTAGAAATTCCCACAACAAGACAGGACAGTAAGATTTGTACGTAGACAATTATTTTGGCTAACAGAAAATAAGGTGCTTTTCGGTCTCGACAGCTGATAAATACACAGTAGCCTAATAGTAAGACATAGAAGAGTTGAACCTATCAAGGAGAGGGTTTGGTTCGTTCGGTAAAGACGGTTTTGGGAAGATTCAAAAAGTCCGAGAACGTGTTTGGAAAAGATATATGGACTTTATTGTTCAGAAGACTTGCCTCGCAACGTCCTAACTTCGCAATCTTGGTTCAAACCCCCGCCGGTCCCGTAGTATTTATGTATTAAGACATCTGCTCTCTAAATCTCTTTCGTATCTGAATTAAGACTACGAAAGCAGGATGGCATTAGAAAGAAGAAGAACTTTAAACATATTGAAGGCGTTTTGATTCACGGTGCCATTCTTCATAACCAAAGCGTGCTTTCTCAAGCTATTCACATACCTATGTCATTTTGATCAAAGCATACATTTCCAGAAGCAACAGCTTTCCCTTTGAACCACAAATAAACCTTAGTATCCGGCAAATTTAATAAACGTGCATATATATGAATACAAACGTATAATTAGCACAAATGAATGGTATCGCAGATGTAAGTAATGTTATCCTTATCGTTGAGTTGGTTCAAAAGGGTCATTATGAGCGGAATGATGTCGAAAAACGCCCACTTGCACCGCCATCCAATGAAGAATCCAAAAGTATCCTCGCATTCTCTCTAAAAGTTTTTTTACAACCATACTGCAGAACTCACTTCGACTGCTGTTTTAATGGCTTCTTCGGTGATTTCTGTTTCTGCAATTATGGGCTTTAGATCCTCCATTAATTCTCTACAAAGACCACACAACGGGGTGCTCAGCAACCTTCTGAAAGCTTCTTGATTTACGGTTCCATTCTTCGTAACCAAAGTGTGCTTGCTGTTCATTGCCGGCGGGCATCCCTTCAAAGCATTGTCGACAGTTGCGCCAGCAAGATAGAGAGCACCGAAGATGACTAAAAAGGACCTCATTTCCAAAACTGATATCTTTGTAATCTTGACCTGTGTTTATATAGTCAGAAATAATGTTAATTTTTTAATAAATTTTAGAAACATTCGAAGCGTTTATTGCCATTTTTTGCTTTTTATTAAATTTTTTATGTAAAATAACGAGTTTTATTGGAATTCAAAATTGTAAAAAAAATGTTTGACTGCATACCTTGACTCTTAATGTTACGTGAAATTTTTTGGTTAGAGCCAGAAAAGCTTCAAAAGAATCTAATCTCGCCAATCTAAAAACACGTTCTCCTTTAATTTCGCTCCGTGCTCAATCTTACTGTACATTTTTATGTGTACGGCAGATGCATTTTGCGACAATTCCGACCGAAAACCAAGCCCGATAACTGATACGAAACTGATTGGACGGGTTTGTAAAATTAATGGCATCACTGCCGCCTGAATTGTGAAAGTGTCCCAAACCCATTTGGCGTGTTTTATGTGAAGCAATTCCAGTTTAGTGATTAGGCTGAACATGACTTCCGTTTCAAGAGTGCAATAGGCATTTTTGGATTTCTGCCATAGTAAGTAAACCTGCGGGGCTCGGTCCGGCTGCGCAAGCCCCTAGTCCAATGTCTACGAAATCCCAACTCATTACCCAAAGCCACTACAGAACGTGAAAGAAACTGGAATACATGTATACCCCCAATTCTCCGAACCCTAATACAAGACGGACGAAGTGCCGAAAGGGGGCGGGAGACTGTCTGGGTTGACGTGCCTTGTCTCTCAGGGCAATACCGGGATCAGAATCGACACTTCAGCGTCTTGACAGACTCTTCCAGACGTAAGATTTGTACATTGACAATTATTTTGGCTAACAGAAAATAAGGTCCTTTTCGGTCTCGACAGCTGATAAATACACAGTAGCCTATTACGCTTTTTCAAAAGTGCGTAGACATTTTCCGGCCTTTTTCGCACCGCACCGTGCATGTTGCGCGACGAAATCCATTTTGCACTGTGCAAATTCTTTTCACACGCCCAAAGTTCGCAGCGACACAGCTGAGAAAAGCTTACGTCGCAGCGATATCCGGTTGCACAGTGCAAAAGGTCAAATGCACCCCGCAAAAAGGAGGTTTGTGCACGGTGCGGCCCACGACAAAATGTCTCCGCACTTTTGAAAAAGCGTAATACACTAATCACATGCAAAAAAATCATGGAGTGAATCATAATGGTTTCTATTGTCCGGCCAGGGCAAGATCGCTCCATCGGAGGCCGTGATTCTTGCCAGCATCGTCGATCCATCTCATCCTGAAGCGCCCAACCGGTCGTGTATAGGGGGTGTCGAATTCTTGCTGATCAATTCCGTTTCTAACGATTTCTTGAATTGCTCCAATTTTCCCTCGAGGATGAACAGTAGCCTAATAGTAAGACATAGAAGAGTTGAACCTATGCAGCGAAGGGTTTGACTCGTCCGGTTAAGACAGTTTTGAAAAGATTCCAAAAGTCCGAAAACGTGTTTGGGAAAGATATATATGGACTTCATTGTTCAGAGGACTTGTCTCGCAACGTCCTAACTTCGCAATGTTGGTTCAAACCCCCGTCGGTCCCGTAATATTGATGTATTAAGGCATCTGCTCTCCAAACCTCTTTCGTACCTGAATTAAGACTACGAAAACAGGATGGCATTAGAAAGAAGAAGAACTTTAAACATATTGAAGGCCTTTTGATTCACGGTGCCATTCTTCATAACCAAAGCGTGCTTGCTCAAGGTATTCACATACCTATGTCATTTTGATCAAAGTATACATTTCCAGAAGCAATAGCTTTCCCTTTGAACCACAAATAAACCTTAGTATCCGGCAAATTTAATAGACGTGCATATATATGAATATAAACGTATAATTAGCACAAATGGATGGTATCGCAGATGTAAGTAATGTTACTGTCATGGTTGACTTTGTTCAAAATTTGCACCATGAGCTGAATGGTAGGCGAAAACGCCCACTTGCACGGCCATTTAAAGAAGTCTCCAAAAGTTCTCACGCAAATTTTCTAAAAGAATGATTACAACCCTACAGAACTCACTTCGACTGCCTCTTGAACGGCTTCTTCGGTGATTGTTGCCGCTACAATTAAGGGCTTTAGATCCTCCATTAATTCTCTACAAACACCACACACCGGGGAATTCATCAACATATTGAAGGCTGCTTGATTCACGGTTCCATTCTTCATAACCAAAGTGTGCTTGCTGAAGCTATTCATTGCCGGCGGGCATCCCTTCAACGCATTGTCGACAGTTGCGCCAGCAAGATAGAGAGCGCCGAAGATGACTAAAAAGGACCTCATTTCCAAAACTGATACCTTTGTAATCTTGATCAGTGTTTATATAGTCAAAAATAATGTTAATTTTTTAATAAATTTCAGAAACCTTCGGCGTTTATTGCCATTTTTTGCTTTTTATTAAAGTTTTTATGGAAAACTAAGAGCTTTATTGGAATTCAAAATTGTAAAAAAATGTTTATTAAACTTGACTGCATACATTGATTCTTTAATATTATTATTCAAACCTTTGCGGAAAATTTTAATTATTTCGAACGTGAAATTATTTGGTTAAAATATTTTATACTGGGTCGATATCACGTGCTAAAATTTTTTTGAACTGGCGTGATGTGATAAGGTTGAACACGGCTTCCGTCTCACGACCGTAATAGGCAGTATACAGGGTTATATACTTTCTTACAAAAATATACATATAACCATTGACCAAAGCTTAATGTTTGGTTCATTACGTGGCCCACTACAACATAGAAGTGTATTCAAGCAAACTTTCGCGCACGAAGACTCGCCTCGGTTGCCATGCTCGACGTCTAGGCTTTTGGTTTCACCGACCGTTCGCCGTAATGCTTCAAAGCATTCATGCTCCTCTTGGTTGCTGGAAAGGCACAGAGAAACTTCATCGTTCTAATCCCGTAAAGCAAGGAAGAAAATGCCGGACGGCCAAGTCACGTTCCGACATTGTCCTAAATTTGTAGACTTATAAAAGATGCATCGGAAACGCGTAATGTTTATTTTATCAAATGACTTCCATTTATCGTTTTACGATGATAAAGTCGATGATGGCGATGAAGTCGATGAAGCCGACGAAGTCGATGATGGCGATGAAGTCGATGGAGTGGTGAAGGACGATCCATTGGACACAGAGTACCCCATATAATCAGGCATATAATTCTGAGGAATAGACAGGCGATAGTAATCAGGAGGGCCTTGTTCCGGATGCGGGATTGTGATATTATTATCGCAGATGGATATTAAAGTGCCCTCCTTTTGATATTCAATAAGAATATCTTTGCAGTCTCCGCTGAGCCCTATGTCATATAATGTTGACTGAGCAACCATGCGACGAGCAACTTTAAAGTTTGTGCCCCAGATATTCACCAACAGAGGGACTTGATCAAAGCGGTCCAACAGGGCAAAGAAACCGGTAGAGATGGCGAAGTTGACGGTCAGACATTGACCTGAAACCGTCAGTTATGATCAAGTTACAGCGGAAAGCAGGCTTGAGATAAATTCATACCTTCTGTGAAGTGAAGTGGGATCGGGATATAAGAGGAGTTCCGGTCGCTCTCATCGATATCAACCGACAGTAAAGATGTCGTCGCGTCATTGTAGTTGACCGCGAGAGCACCATGGAACAGCACTAAAGTAAGAGCAGACAATTTCAGAGGTAAATCAAAAGAAGCCTCAGAACAACGAAAAAGTTTCTACAACATATAAGGCGCGTGCGTTCTACATCTCAGCGGGACTCCTCGCAGAAAACCCGCATTTCTTGTCTGTAGGCCCTCTAGACAAGAAATGCGCATTTTCTGTCTAAAATAGAGACAAAATTTGCAAAACTTCTCTGAGATAACAGACAAAGAGCCTGTCTGTTAGCCTGGACGAAAACTTCAAAATGTTGTCTGGACTCCAGACAAGAAACGAGGAATCCTGTCTGGTAGGTAGTCAGACAAACTTTTTTGTCTGACCAGAAACGGCAAATCCTGTAAAAAATCTTTATCCACAAAAAGTTTCGATTCTCCTCTCTGTAGGACTTGCGAGTTGCATTTCACAGCCCAAGTTCTACGACGGAACTTGTCCGAACAACGAAATACAAGGCCAACCACCGTCGTCGCTGACCCCGATCACGGTGAAGAACACTCTCCGCCTTGGAACTTTTGCGTTCCTTGAGACTGTTTTCGTTTCTGGCCGAAAGGCCGAAGACCAACAAATTCGGAAAAAACATTGCCCGCACAAGTAAAGAAAACTTTCTCGCTCAGGAAAGAAATGGGTTCCTCTCATGAGCGAGAAACCCAGAGCCGAGAAACGCAGAGAAAAAAACAAAAACGCACGCAAAAAGCGTGAGCGAGAGGGCACTATGAACGCGATTTTTTCTCTGCGTTTCTCGCTCATGAGAGGAACCCATTTCTTTTGAGCGAGATAGTTTTCTTTCGTCATGCGAGCTAAGTGACCTTCGAATTTGTTGGTGTTTGGCCTTTCGGCCAGAAACGAAAACAGTCTCAAGGAACGCAGAAGTTCCAAGGCGGAGGGTGTTCTTCACCGTGATCGGGGTCAGCGGCGACGGTGGTTGGCCTTGTATTTCGTTGTTCGGACAAGTTCCGTCGTAGAACTTGGGCTGTGAAATGCAACTCGCAAGTCCTACAGAGAGGAGAATCGAAACTTTCTGTGGATAAAGATTTTTACAGGATTTGCCGTTTCTGGTCAGACAAAAAAGTTTGTCTGACTACCAGACAGGATTCCTCGTTTCTTGTCTGGAGTCCAGACAACATTTTGAAGTTTTCGTCCAGGCTAACAGACAGGCTCTTTGTCTGTTATCTCAGACAAGTTTTGCAAATTTTGTCTCTATTTTAGACAGAAAATGCGCATTTCTTGTCTAGAGGGCCTACAGACAAAAAATGCGGGTTTTCAGGCCCGCTGAGATGTAGAACGCACGCGCCTTATATGTTCTTTGGCTATTCGGTGTACAGAGGTTAGCCTGAACTTACGACCGGTCTCAAAAATGGGGGTTGGAAGTTGAACGATGGTCCCATCGTTTATTTTTACTGAAACCGTTCCATTTGCAAGTGTCAGAGCGACGTCAGTGTCGTTTACTTTCTGTGTGTGCTTCATGTCTAGTTCTGTTTCATCTGCAAGTTGACATTGAAGTTTTCTTGGGTCCCTTTGTCGACCTACTCTTATAATCGTATACCCGATAGAAATTTCGACTAACATGAACTCGCAAACGAGAAGTACGATTTTCAAGCGTATATCCAGTATCTTCGTAGATAATGACGTCGGCCGGGGAATCCGTGCTGAACCTCAGCTTCACCGAGATCTTGTCTCCATCGAGCCAACCTTGAAATCGATTCTGAATATAGGTAACATCGCCAGCAAGTGTGATGGCGACCAGAAGAAGAAGAGAAACAAAATGTAACATCACTCCCAATTGAACAGCGTCAAATGTGAATGAAATGAAGCGCGTTTTTCAATTTAAAAATGATAATAATGCCTTTGGTACGTCAAATTAATGAGGCCATACGAGGATTCGATATTACAATTTTTGACGACTCCATAAAGGCAGACGTGTAATGAACTGTGCAAAAACCAAGTACAAGGATTTATAAGCCATGAAAACAACAACGATCAAAAAATAAACTCAACAAAAAACATATAAATAACGTTACTCAACATTTCCTTCTTTCTCCCGACTATTTTCGGTGGCTATTTCTCGGTCCTTTTCGAAGCGATTTGATGGAAAACTTTGTATTGCGTGGACATGCAACGACCGCTGATGCCGTGCGACACGGCTAGGAGGTGCTTTTTTTTAAACGACGCAACCCGAATTACAGGGTGACAAATAAAAAATTCAACTTTTTTTCATGGGTCCTGCCGCGAAAATGTGGTGTAGCGAAACATTTTTTATACCATTAAATTCTCCGTACCGTGGCCGCTTTTATGTTTATATCATGCTTATTTTATCAAATAACTTTCACTTTTCGTTTTACGATGATATAGTCGATGAAGCCGATGAAGTCGAATATGGCGATGAAGTCGATGATGGCGATGAAGTCGATGATGGAGTGGTGAAGCACGATCCATTGGACACGGAGTATCCGACAAACGCAGACATAAAATACTGAGGAATAGACAGGCGATAGTAATCAGGAGGACCTTGTTCCGGATGCGGGATTGTGTCGTTCCTATCGCAAGCAGATACGACGGTACCCTCCTTTTGGTATTCAAGAAGAAAACGATTGCAGTTGTTGTCGCTTTCGTAGCTTATGTTATAGTTTGTTGACTCAGTAACCATGCGGCGAACAAGGACCGGTGAAGTAACCTGGGTATTCACCCACAGAGGGATTTGATCAAAGCGATCCAACAAGGCAAAGAAAAAGTGAAGGCTGTTGAAGTTGACGATCAGACATTGACCTGAAACCGTCAGTTATGATCAAGTTACAGCGGAAAGCAGGCTTGAGATAAATTCATACCTTCTGTGAAGTGAAGTGGGATCGGGATATAAGAGGAGTTCCGGTTGCTCTCATCGATATCAACCGACAGTAAAGATGTCGTCGCGTCATTGTAGTTGACCGCGAGAGCACCATGATACAACCCTAAAGATTGATTGGTAAAAAAATATTCCACATAATTTTCGGGAAAAGTAATGAAAGTTGTGGAAATTTCTAGAAAGTGCTATCATGTGACTACAGTGGCGCTCAAAAAAAACGGCCACCCCAAGATGATGCGCTCTAACGCAGAAGAGAGTAGTCGTAGGAAGATAAATATGGTATCATTGTAAAGCTTATGGAATACTAAGACGTGTGACTATACGCTTGTGGTACTGTAGTGCTGGCCTAGCACGTACTGGGGCAATATGTTCTTTTGGCCTGGTCAAAAAAAATGGCCACCCATAATTATTTTGCTTTAAACGCGGTGTATGTTAGAAATTGCCGCCATATGGGACTGGACTAGGATAGCTATATCAATACACACCAATTCCAGTATTTTTTACTTTGTACATATGCCCTCAGGCATCAATCAGGGTTGATGACCTTGTTCATGGTTAAGGCCCGGCCAAAATTTTTTTTGGGTTTCTGCCGTTGTTTTGATAATCCGAAGCAATACTGTAGACGGTATTGATCGTATTCGTGTGTAAGACTGCCCACTTTTGCCAAAATTGCGCCTCTTTTGATAAGAAAACTCAAAAAATGGAATTTTTTGACCTAATTTTCTCCAAAAATCCGTTTTGGAGGCCGCTAAACCATGAATGTAGAACCTTAAACAGGTTTTATTTGTACAAGAACATCATGGACATTTGTTTTAACACGGCACCGATTAAAGCAAACGACCGCCCGAAACGACAGATACCGTTTTGTTACAGTTTTCGACTTCATGAAGTAATCATGAATTTTGTCCGGTTCCGAAACCTCGTTGAATAGAAATTAGAATATAGTATCGCATTTGTGGCGTAGTTGAGATACCACTTAATCATTTAAAGATAAATATGAGCCCCTAAAGCGAAAATTCGGGTTGCAGACCTTGACAAAGTTCATGACTATTTCCTGAAGTCGAAAACTGTAACAAAACGGTATCTGTCGTTTCGGGCGGTCGTTTGCTTTAATCGGTGCCGTGTTAAAACAAATGTCCATGATGTTCTTGTACAAATAAAACCTGTTTAAGGTTCTACATTCATTGTTTAGCGGCCTTCAAAACGGATTTTTGGAGAAAATTAGGTCAAAATATTTCATTTTTTGAGTTTTCTTATCAAAAGAGGCGCAATGTTGGCAAAAGTGGGCAGTCTTACACACGAATACGATCAATACCGTCTACAGTATTGCTTTGGATTATCAAAACAACGGCACAAACCCAAAAAAAAATTTAGCCGGGCCTTAACCATGAACAAGGTCATCAACCCTGATTGATGCCTGAGAGCATATGTACAAAGTAAAAAATACTGGAATTGGTGTGTATTGATATAGCTATCCTAGTCCAGTCCCATATGGCGGCAATTTCTAACATACACCGCGTTTAAAGCAAAATAATTATGGGTGGCCATTTTTTTTGACCAGGCCAAAAGAACATATTGCCCCAGTACGTGCTAGGCCAGCACTACAGTACCACAAGCGTATAGTCACACGTCTTAGTATTCCATAAGCTTTACAATGATACCATATTTATCTTCCTACGACTACTCTCTTCTGCGTTAGAGCGCATCATCTTGGGGTGGCCGTTTTTTTTTGACCGCCACTGTATGTAAAGGTGATGTGATAACATGTAGACTGATATAAAGGTGGTAATATGAATGAAGACAAGATGGAATTTGTCCAAAAAGGGAATTTTTGTCAAAAGCAGGCCGCCCCGTTCGATTTGATGTCTAGATTTCCCGTTTTCTGCTCGGATAAAGCACGAAATTTTGCAATTTGTGATGTTTGTTGTACCATGGATAATGTAAGTCGATTTTCCTATTTTTTTGTGCAAACTCGCCAAAAAATGGACAGATATACGTTTAGGACTGGCCACTAGGGGGCTTTGGTAGTTCAGCCCCCCAGGAAAGGTAAGAAAAATTGATAAGAAAATGCTAAAGAAAAGATAAGAAAATGCTTTTATCGGATAGTGACATTTCGTTTTGAACGAATCGCCAAAAAGGGCGGGAAATTTTTTCTTCTATTTTGGATTGACGTGCAGAGGTATGTCAAGATAGACCTCAGTACAACGAAAAATTTCCATAACATGTTTTTTTGGTAATTCGGTGTACAGAGGTTAGACTGAACTTACCATCCTTAAAAATGCCGGTTGGAAGTTGAACGACGTTCTCATCGTTTATTTTCACTGAAACCGTACCATTTGCAAGTGTCAGAGCGACGTCGGTGTCGATTACCTGTGTGTGCTTCACGTTTAGTTCTGTTTCATCTGCAAGTTGACATTGAAATTTTCGTTGTGAAAATTTGTTGACCTACTCTGGAAATCGTAAACCCGATAGAAATTGCGACTAACATGAACTCGCAAACGAGAAGAACGATCCTCAAGGTTATACCCAGAATCTTGGAAGATAATAACGTCAGCCGGTGAATCCGTGAAAAACCTCAGCTTCACCAAGATCTTGTCTCCATCGAAAAAGCCTTGAAATCGCTGCCGGATACGGGTAACATCGTCAGCAAGCGTGATGGCGACCAAAAGAAGAAGATAAACAAAATGTAACATCACTCCCAATTGAATAGCGTCAAATGTGAGTGAAATGAAGCGCGTTTTTTAATTTAAAAATGATAATAATGCCTTTGGTACGTCAAATTAATGAGGCCATAGATTCGATATTACAATTTTTGACGACTCCATAAAGACAGATGTATAAGGAACCGTTCGAAAAACAAGTGCAACGATTTATAAGCCATGAAAACAACAACGATCAAAAAATAAGTTCAACAAAAAACAGATAAATAACATTACTCAACATTTCCTTCTTTCTCCCGACTATTTTCGGTGGCTTCTCTTTGCGCATTCTTACTCAAATCTATCCTCAACAACTCCCTCAATGCAATGGTTGCATAACAGCCCGAGGGTAAAGAGAATTTCACCCTCAATGCTTGGAATTTCCCTTCTTCTGGTGACTTCAAGTCTTCCTGATTTATTATTGCAAACGGTTCAGCACTTTGAAGGACGGTATTGAGACTATTGTACCCAACCAGGTCGTACTGGACTTCTCTCGGCTTCTCAATGTAATTTCGGAAGGATTCGGAGACGGCAAAGTCTCTAAAATGATATAAATCATATACTTCTGCCCAAAATATCAAGTATAACTCTCAAATTCTTACTTGTGAAGGTCGCTGAAGGCTCCTTCTGTTATATTATCCTTCTCCATGATCTCTTTGTACCACTGACCCACTAAAATTATATTACTTACACAAAATGATCTTATAAATCACCTTCATTCGACGGAATCCTCATCCGATTCGATGGTAATGGTAATATAACATCTTCGATTTTATCTCCTTTATCTGACACTTCTTTATCGACCAGGAAAATGTCTCCTTCCAACACTTTCAAGCCAAATTTCTCGGCCCTTTTCGAAGCGATTTGATTGAAAATTTTGGATTGATAAGCATGGACATACAGCGACCGCTGATGCCGTGGGATCGCGAGAATCGCTGCTCTATAGTCTCCTGGCTTCTTTTCGAGCTGTTTTAGGGCAATTGCTTCCACTTGGTTCCTCAAATTTCCTTGAAGTTGGCTTAGAGCTTTAGCTGGATCTTTTGTCTCGGAATATGTTTTCAGACAATCGCCAATCGATCCTAAAGAGGAAATAATAACAAAAAAGAAATACACATACCTTTAGTATTCTCCTTCGGCTCCAGGATCAAATTTACAGCAGCTTCAAAATCTTTTTGAAGGATTTTTAGACCAACATCAGCTGTCGAGACCGAAAAAGACCCAAATCTCTGTTCGCCAAAATAATTGAGGAACCCTTTTTGGCTCCATTCGTCGATTCTGTCCTAAAATAAACAGCATTAATTCAATTTAGGTACCAAAAAAACTGTTTGGCCACAAAGCCTACTAAATATTTTTTAATCTCACCTTTAATTGCTCATCATTATACTCTGTAAACTCTCTCAATGCAATTTCAAATCGGTTTCCCCATAAATTCCCAAGCGTCAGTCGTTTATCTTCGTACTTCGGAGCGCTGACTTTGATGCCCTTCAATCGTGAGTTCAATGCCAATAACTCCAAAGCATCAACATGGAAGCCAGATACTCTTTGCGCAGTAATCGCTCGTCGGTCCTTCAGGCCACAATAACCAAAAGAGTCGGGAGTTCGACTAAAAAATTTATTGTAATAGATAGATATCAAAAAGTAAGTAAACCCAAGTGTAATGGAGGTCTAACCGCTCTCGAAGGCATGTAAAAAAGTAAGAAAACACTTGCTTCAAAAATTTGGATACAATCCCGATTGCGTAACTCGTCTCGTAGTCGGCTTTGGACAATGTGAAATGAAGATGTTCGGGGATATCCCTAGGCCAGAATTTCCTCTTTCGACCACTAGGTTTTGGCTTGAACGCTTTAACCTCTTGACCATCCATTCGAGAATCATAAGGACCCAAAGATCGGACGTATTCATGAAGTTCTCGGCGTTCGTCTTTTGACCAGCCCTAAACAACATAAAATTTATCAAATTTTCCTCCATATTGTGATAACCAAGCTTCTGCTACTCTAAAATCAAAAAACAATACAGTAAGCCAAACATACTTCGACATTGATCCCGACTTCTCCCAATTCGGCGAGTTTTCCCAGCTTTTCCTTGTCCTCTTCACTCAACTTGCTGGGTAAAACAACTTCCTTTTCTTCCTTCACCCGCGGAACAACATCTTTGCTGCCATCACTGATTTGAGCAGTCGTCCCATCCGTCAACACTTCTAACACTAGGAAATCAGAATAATTCTGTTTGAAAATACACGGCCATGGTTTGTATTCGGCGGTGGAGTTGAGGAAAGTGGTCACTCCAATCTCTGGGCGGATCATGATCAAGAAAAGATTGGCTGAAAAACAAATAAATCACTTTTTCAACGTCGAATTGCGTTCTAAAATCGAAGTAAAACCCTCCAAAACAATTTTTCGATATTTTTGCAAAAATATTTTTTTGAAAGACAATGCCAAAATTTTTTGGCGCTCATTGTTTTCGTGTCGGGGCGCATTTCAATTACTCGTTATTTGAAAGTAGGACCACACTAAAACCAAAACTTGTTACACCGTACCATTAAACGTATTTTACCACCATTTGCCGCTGCATAACCATTAAAAGTTTTATTATTTCAACAAATAACAACGAACAACAACAGAAATGTTGAGAAATGTAACAAAAACAGTCGTATTTTAGTGTTTTTTACTCTTTTTCTTCCTGACTGGCTCGGAATCTCCATTCACCTTGGGTGTAATTCCATTCTGTGCTGGTTCATCTGTATTTTTATTCGTTTCCACATTTATTTTTGGCTCTTCTTCTTTATTTTCTTCCTTTTCTTCATTCCCGTCTACTTTTTCCTCCTTCGTCTGTTCAAAAACTACTTTTCCAGTCTTTAAAAAGACATCAACTGTGTTGGAGTACTTTTGTTTTCCATCATCATCCATTGAATTTATACTTTCGAGGACCTGAAAATAAAATCGATGTTATCTATGATTAACAAATATACAAAAAAATCTATGATCAACAAATATACAAAAAAGGTTGATAAATAGTACTATAAAACATGGAATTACCTTCTGTGCAGCCAATTTCAAAGTCAATCTGGTCAAAACATTCTCCGCAATTGATCTAAATTGCATTATCTGGCTGAGATTTTCGACAAAAAGTTGAGTTAAGAAGACTTGTTCGAATCTTGTCGTCGTTGAGTGCTAAAATTATTCAATTCACGACGATAAATTGCCATTTCAACAAAAAAATCGACAAAAATTTTTTTTTTTATATTACACTTGACATTCCTTACTTTAGTGATATAAGAAATCCAAGTTGGGATGTTCAACCGCAAAGTCAGATCCATGGCGACGGTTGGGTATTTCAGACACGATTTGAAGAACTTGAGGATCTCCAGCTTGACGGCTCTGTTCAAAACACACGAAGTGAAGGCGCCCATCGCAGTCTCGGCCACGTACGCCCTTCTCAACGCCATGTAATCCGATGGGCATCTGACAGAAGATGCTGCAATCTCCATAATCCACTGCCTTTCCTTGTTAAAGGCAATTGAAGATGTTGAGAAGAAGAATTTGGTAAATTCAGGCAGCTTTTTGAGGTCCAACGTTGGTTTTTGAAGAAGAGCGGACCAAACGCCTTTGAAAAGTGGATGTAATGGATCCATTGTGACGTCAAACACTTCGCACAAGTATCGGGTAATTGCTAAACATCAAAAGAATCGAATAAAAATGTTATAACCTACGAGAAACAATCCTTTCATTGGGCTGTGTGATGCTATTTTTGAGCAATTTAATAAGATAAATAAACAAGGTTTTCTGCGGGAAATTCTCGGCACTGAGGTCGTTGAGATGCTTGTTGAAGTCATTGAGGACTCGATAAGCGATGGCTCGAAGTTCGTCGGATTGGAAACTCAAGGAAGCGACAGTAAAATGAAGACAATTTGAAGTCACAAAACATCTCGTGGAGAGCTGAAATATGAAAATACAGCTTGAAAAGTAGTCTCGTTATCTAGAATATTCCCCATTCTGTCTTAAAAACTAGATCAGTGTCCAAGAAAATTCAAAAATAAGCTGAATCTCACATCACTTCCGGGTTTGACCAATGTCAAGTACAACATCAGAACAAATCGTGGATCGTACAGATCTGCCAACGGTTCGTTCCTGTATTCTGAGTTCACCATAGAGCCTGCTGTCTTCTTGACCAACTCAGGATTAAAATATGTCAATACCTAAAAGCAAAATTCAACAATAAACTAAATTCTTACCTGATCTGGCTTCAAAACGTTACTCAACGACCTTCCAAATTGAATCAAGTTATCATAGTAAGCCCGGCTTTTCTCCGAGAACACCAAAGGAGCTACGCATCTGAAACGAGAAGTTTTAGTTGACTTTGGTACCTAAAAATCCAAAATGGTGTTAGAGTATGTCTCACTTCAGATTGACGAATAACGCTCGCTCTATAAACTTCAGGCATTCAAATATACATCGATCCACCTCATTCTGCGTTGCCGTGTATCTGATCAACAATTTACTTAAAAATTTGACATCAATCTTTTTGGCAACAGCTCTTCTGGCTTCAGCCTAAAGTAAGGTAATGAAGAGTGCATCTAAAACCAAAAACACGATATCAAAATACTTACATCCTTTCTCAAAAGCAATAAGAAGTCAAGGAGATGCTCATAAAACAGATCTTTCCTCTTTTTTTCGCTCACAATCTTGTCATAAAATTTGTCGAACTTGTGAATCAGATCGTCGGTGGATGGAATTGGCTCTTCTCCAACAATTTCCTCGGTATTGATCTTTCTTTTCCTTGAGGAACACATTGGATCGGCTAAGAAATAGATCCAGAGGATACAGAAATATTATTTTTGCCTTGCAACAGAATGCCAACATTCTTTGGCAACTGCTTGTTTTCGTGGTAGGACTGTGATATAGTACCGGTGAGTACCCAGTTTGAGTGGTAAAAAACAAGTTACTCGTAGGATCTTCCAAAAAAACAGATAAATTTAGTTTATATAAAAATCCTATGACAAACTTGGCCAAAAAGTTTGTGATTTTACTAAAAATTATATTGAAGTAGACAGATCTCTTTGATTTTTATATTTTATTACGCAAAACCTCCTTACTTTTGCCCTGAAACGCATAATATCCGCATGTAAATCAATTCACGTAACTATGGCGTTAAGCCAAGCCTTTTCCTTGTGCCACTTTTCTGCGCTCGCGTTTTCAAAAAAACGAAACAAACGTTCAAAAAAGGGAGAAAAAGGAGAGAGAGCGTTCGTAAATTAGCCCGATTTGTTTTGTCTAACTTCAGTGTTGGCCTGCACTTTGCTTCAGGTCAGTTTTATCATTTTTAATATTTAATTTTTTTATGTTGTCATTGGGTTACTGTAATTCGAAAAATTTAATGATTACTTTTCTAGATCTTTAAATAATTGCCCAAAATGAGTTCCTCGTCAGTCCAGAGTGTTCATAGTCGTGGGTTTCGTCGGAAATTGCAGAAGATTTTCTCCAGAAAATCCAAAAAAGACGGCCGACTTCTGGATACCGCGTCCGAGTCCGCTTCCTCTTCAGAATACAGAGTTCTCCACTGTCGGGCGATGAAAGATCAGGACGAAAAAGAGATTACAGACAAGAAGAAGGAAAATGATGGCAATAGCGATGATGGTAAGTCGAAATTTGGACAAAATTTATATTATTTTAGACAGTTTTTGTCATCAAAAATTTTTGTTTTTTCTTCGATTTTTTCGGTTGATTGCATAGCATATGATTTGTATAGACTATTGAAAGACTTATGAAGAGCTGTTATCTTTGTTTATTCGAGACGGATCTGCCCTAAATTCCAAAAAATCGGAAGAAAAACTTTGAATATTTTGCATTCTTTAAAGAGTACTTTGAGGCGTTCAACTCTGTAAAATAGTGTTATTTATTATGAGTTTGGAGTTAACGGTTGTTCCGACAGGTAAAATATGCACAAAAATTTGCAAAAAAAATCGATTTTTTGTACAAAAAAAGATGATTTTAGACTATTTTTGTACAGAAAATGATGATTTTCGACCACTTTGTGTACAAAAATGGTAATTTTAGGCCACTTTTTGTACAAAAAAAAAGATTTTAGGTCATTTTTGTAAATACAAAAAAGATGATTTAAACCTTTTTTTGTAAAAAAAGATGATTTTAGATACTTTTTATACAAAAATGATGGGTTTAGACCATTTTTGTACAAAAAAAGATGATTTTAGCCCATTTTTTGTACAAAAATTACGATTTTAGACCATTTTTTGTATAAAAAATGATGATTTTAGGCCATTTTTGTATAGAAAAAATGAAATGTCCTGTTCCATGCCCTGACGCGTTTACTGAGTAATATTCTTTGCAGACGAATCCTCTTCCGACCCCTCTTCGCCTCGCTCCAGCTCCTCCAACGACGAAGGTCTGGTGCTGTCGGAGAAGCCGGCGGATCCCAACAAAAAGCGGGCCGACTACCTTTCCTGGGACGAATTCTTCATTGGGGTGGCGTTGCTGGCCGCCCAACGCTCCAAAGATCCCTCAACGCAAGTCGGCGCCGTCATTGTGGATGACAATAATATCATCGTCGGAGTGGGCTACAACGGAATGCCCCGAGGCTGTGATGATGATGACATGCCCTGGGGCAAAAATGAGGAGGATCCGTTGAAGAACAAGTACTATTACGTGTGCCATGCGGAGATGAATGCGATTGTGAACAAGAAGAGTGCGATCCGGGACGCCAAAATCTACGTGACCCTCTTCCCTTGCAACGAATGTGCCAAACTTATCATCCAATGTGGGATCAAGAAAGTGGTCTATATGAAGGATAAGCCACAGAAGAACGAAATGAAAGCATCTAAACTACTTTTTAGCAAGTCTAAGGTCGAATATCAGTAAGTTTTTTGAATTTGAGGCCCCTTTTTATATTACACATGGCATTTGGTGTCCCAAAAAGGCCTAAAACACAAGAGTTTTCCTTCTCATTTTTTAAAATACATATTTTTCAGACATTACCGACCAACCCGATCAAATGTCGTCCTACATTTCGATTAAAATCCGAAAAAAATCCAAGAAAAAAAGAAGTATTTGCTTTAAAACCCGCAGAAAGATCAAAATATCCGAAGAAATGGGTCGATTATGAGTATTTTAATAGATTTTACAGCCTTTTACTATCGAATAAACTGTCATTAAGCCGTCTTATCACTCAAAAACAACTTTAAACTCGACTTTTTTTGTAAAATCGGTCTTTTCAAAGACAAAAAACCCCTCAAAAAGCGATGAAAAAGAGCGATGGCCACATCTGTCCCTAGGCCGATGTCCTCAGGCGCTTTTCCCATGAATCGGATGGGGAAACGCCGGAGGGGATCAGCGCTTTTCGCGGTTTTACTTCCTCCAGCCCATCTGCACGGTGCGGCGATTTGGAGGCCGCACTGTGCGATTGGGAGGAGTGTGGGAATTCGCACGGTGCGGAAAAGTTTGAAGTTTAGACTGCACTGTGCAAATTTTTGGATTTTGTTTGCACAGTGCGAAAATTTGGGATGTTTGAAAACGCACTGTGCAAAAAAATAATTTTTGAACTGCACTGTGCGTAAAACCACTTGATCGTTTTGACTGCACTGTGCGTCATGTCGCGTAATGTCTTTCGTTCCTGGATCTCGCACGGTGCAGTGATTTTCCCATCCCAGTCCGTCCGCACTGTGCATTTTCTTTTTCATGTCCATCTGACAAGCGCACGGTGCAGTTGGGCAAACATGTTGAAAGCGTGTCGCCTTTCAGCTGAAGTCCTGTCGCGCAACCATCGTGGAATGCGATCCACCTCCCCACTGGCCGTTCCTTTCGTTGAGTGGCGTGAAATTGGGTGGGCGATGGAGCGTGCCGCGAGCGGAGGGCGCGCCGAGAAAGCCCGCACAGTGCGATGGGAGGAGATGCGACAGCGGCGGGCGGGTCGCTTTTCAATCAAAATGGAGTCGCTTATCAATTGTCGCGGTTCCTTCGGGGCTGAAATCAAAACCTGCGTCTTGTTTTCGGAGTGAAGACCGCACCGTGCGTCCCATTTCTCTTTCATTTCGGAGATTGCACTGTGCGATTGGGGAAGCGCCTCGCACTGTGCACTTTTTGCGACTTTTGCTCTTTGTGCTCATCGGATTTCTTTTTTGAACTGCCGCCTCTTTGCACTGTGCACTCACTTTGTTCGCCGCACGGTGCAATGAACCTGATCCGTCTCGAATGTTCGTCGCAAACAATCGCCGAAAAAACCGGTGGACTCTTTCATTTGGTCAAAAAAACAAAAAAAAGCCTGCGGACAAAACAATCGCGATCCTCTTCATCGCTTTTGTCAAAAACAACAATCAACGCGACGACAAGAGGCCGCGCTCCAGTCACGCGTCAAAGTGCACTGTGCAATGAGTCGCGGCGACATTCCGAATTCATTGCACCGTGCAGTTTGGAGTGCGAACTTTGTCGCGGCTGGACGGCGAGATTTTCATTGCACAGGGAGTGAGGAGGTCCGTGCACGGTGCGGAATCAGTTTTCCTTTTGCTTGCACAGTGCAATAAAAAATCGTAAAACATAAATTTTGATTGGCGCACTGTGCAAAAAAATTGGTTAAGCGCACAGTGCAGTTTTCAAGGCCAAAACTCTCATTTTTCACGTCGCAAACGCCTTTTTTGGGGCCGCTCTGAGTCACAAAGCGGTAAGCGGCCTTCTGACAACCAATTTTTGTCGCTCTTCGGGTCTCCGGCCCAGCGTTTCCCCTAATTTTCATGGTTTTCTGATCGCATTTGGCCATTCGTGTGGGCCAAATGGCCGGCAATGCGATGGGATCCGGGAAGTCTCGGCTTTAATTTTTTTGCATTCGAATGGACATTGTCGCAAAAAAATGATGTTCCGAAAACACCTGTCGCTGTCTGGAGAGCTCAATTTTTGAGTTTCTTCGTTTGCTTTTGAAAAAAAATGTTTTAATTTCGTCGCAATTTCCCTTATTTTTGTCTTTTTTTACGTTTCAAATTATTTTTTTTTATTTTGCACAGTGCGTTCTGTCCATTTTTTCAATGCACTGTGCATTCCCCATAACTTTCCCACTGCACAGTGCATTGACCAAAAACAAAGTGTTCAATGCACCGTGCATGCCCTTATGCCGTCCGCACTGTGCCACACCCGTTTTTGTCGCGCTCCCTTTCTTGTCGCTGTTCAAGTTTTGCAAAGAAAAAAGAAAATGAGGCGAAAGTTTTGTGTGTTTTTTGCCGCCGGATCAACAGGTTGGCTGTGGGGGGAACAGCTCGCCAAAAAAGCGCTTTTCGTCCGTCGCGGCGATTAGCGACAGTTTTCGTTTTCGGCGGTGCGCGAAATCGGTGCGGGCCGCGGGTTTTCGTCGCATGAGCGCCGCACCCCGCGACCCTTCGCTTTTCTCGTTCCTCGGCCTTTTCCGTCTCGCTGACCTCTCGTCGGGGGGTGAGCGACAGGGGGTCTGAATTTCAATCCCGCACTGTTTTCCCACCCGTTGGCATCGCCGAAAACACAGTGTCGCCGCTTTTTGAGGGTTGAGCGTGCGGGGACGCACAGTGCCGTCGCGACCGAGTTTCAAGAGAGTCATGTCGCGGTTCGAGAGCTTTCCGCACGGTGCGAATGATCTTTAAACTTTTATTTGCACAGTGCATTGATCCGTTTTCATTGGGAAGACGTTTGCACAGTGCGATTTCAAATAAAGTTCTTTTGCTTTTCGAATGCACTGTGCAAATCTCTTGGACTTTTGCACAGTGCGATAAAAATCTTTTCTTAATGCACAGTGCAGGTTTTCTTTTTCGGATTTTTGCACAGTGCAGTGAACTTTTGACTGCACAGTGCAATAATTTTTTCTTTTTCGTCTCTAAAATCGCCAAAATCTCTAAGAATTTTGCAAAAAGATGAAATCGCCTGAGGGGAAGAGCTTAATTAACCCGTTCGAAATTGATTATCGCTACCTGGACCACTTGTTTTGTCACTTTTTCCCGCTTTTCCCCCGATTTCGGGGCCAGACAGCGGTTTACGCGGATAAAATGAATTCGGAAATGATTTTGGATTTATTTTAATATTAATGGGCCCATAAAAAAGGTTCAGCCCAACTTTTTCGCCCCTTTCTTTACCTCCGACATCGAGAATAATAGCAAAAATGTGCTGAAAACACAAAAGTTTGTGGTTTTTCGCCAAAAACGAGTGACTGTTTTGATGTTTTAGGCGGTAATCTCTGTGTTTCGGGGAAAGTCCAATGTTGTTGTGGGAAATTTTGGGATTTTTATGCAAAAATTTGGGAATTGCGATGATTTTTGGGGATAATCCTTTCGAAGAATGGCTATGAGGGACACGGAAGTGTGGGATTTTGTGTGGGAGTTTCAAGTGGTACTGTAGGTTCTGTACCGATTTTTTGGCCGAAAATTTTGGAAATTTTTAAAAAATTTTGAAGAATGATGATTTTTTGGATTTTTTTTGCGATTTTATGACTAAACTTTGGTTTATTATAATAACAGAATCTCATATTTTACAATTTCAACATGATTTCTTTTCAAAATTTTGAAAAAAAATGCAAAAAATAAAAAAAATTTTTTGATTTTTCCAAAAATTTCCGTCAAAAAATCGCTAAAAATTCTTAAAATTCAAACAAAAATTCCGTGAATTCCATTAAACCACAGGAATTTCGCCTTTGGTCGTTCAATTTCCCCTCTTTTCGCCTCTTTTCATTAACTCAAACACAACATTTTACAAAAACTTACTTTCCCTGCGTGTGAAGCGGCTTTTGGTTACTCGAATTACTCACTCCTCTCATCCCTCTATTCTTTGATCCCCAATTCTTCCATTTGTCTTTAATTCTGTTCCACGTCGAGATCGAGAAAGGCCGAGAGATCTGGTTTTTGGCCTAAAATAAGGTCCAGATTGTTTTTGAACGGGGTTTATGGGTGGGTGGATGGGATAAGAGATGTTCGAGGGCTAGTTTATGGGCTGGAGATGGGTTTGCAAGTTGGGTGAGGGCTTGAAAGTAAAGAAAAGGCGCACGGCAACCCGAAGTGTTTCCTGGCTCCTTTCGATACTTCGCCCATTTTGTATCGGTTAAAATCAAACGAAATGTCACAGAAGAATTTTTCGTGGGGTTTTCCGACCGAAAAATATTTTTCTCGGAATTATTTTATTTCTTTTTTCAATTTTGACACTTCGTTTGGACGAAACTCAAAAGTGGGCGGGAAACATTTTTCTTCTATTTCGGGTTGCCGTGAGGCGTTTTTTCCCGGAAAATAGCGGGTTTTTGATGATTTTTTGTGTTTTTTGGATTTTTTTGTTTGCTTTACAGATTTTTTTAGTGGTATCGCACTTTGAAATGAAGTAAAATTAATTTTGTTAACGGTGAATTCTCGTATTTTACCTTTACTTTGCCTATTTCCCCGTTTTTCGGTCCATTTTTACCTTATTTTGTACGATTTTTGATGATTTTTTGTGTTTTTTGGATTTTTTCGTTTGTTTTACAGACTTTTTTAGTCGTATCGCACTTTAAAAAAGTGTAGAATTAATTCCGCCAACCGTAAATACTCGTATTTTACCTTTACTTTGCCTATTTCCCCCTTTTTCAGTCATTTTTACTTTATTTTATGCGATTTTTGATGATTTTTCGAATTTAGATATAAAAAACTCTCTGAAAAATAACTTTGAATATCCTCTAAGCCTTCTCAGACCTTTGTTGTGATATCTCAAGACAAATTCAGTAATGAAATTGACGTATTTACCTTGTTTTTAGCCTTTTTTTCCCTCAATTTCCCTGATTTTCGCTTTCATTTTCAAAAATGACCAATTTCCAAAGCCCCTAACGCCTGTCTAGGTCTCTGCGAGTTCAATTCAGATATTTTTCTCTTGTCTATCAACAATTTCCCAGTCTATTTGTTATTTAAAAGACGATTTCTGAGACAGTGAAGCAAGCCGTGACATAGGATTTTTTCGAAGTTGAGTTTTTTGCATAAATATGATCCACAGCACCAGTAGGGAAAAAGCGAACCACAGTTTTCCTCAATTCTTCCATTAACTGTACTTTTTATACAATTTTCTGTTTATACAGTAATTCGTCATAACTTTCTACAATGGTGTCCGTTTGTCATAAAAATAAGGCTACTATGGTTTTTGGGCATGACCAGTTCAATAAAACCAAAAAAAAATTCATCCGGTTACGGTAACATATAAAAATACTGTATCGGTCGGTAAAAATCCACCATAAAAAGTTTGTTTCAAAAAAGCCACAGCCAATTTTTTCATATTCGTAATCAGCGTAAAATTCTGCTCTAGGACCAATTTTAAAAAGTTCAAAAATAGGACCCCCATTTTCCGTGGTGCAGTGGTTTTTGACCAGGACTCGTAATCTGACCACCCAGGTTCGAATCCGGGTGGGTGCGAATGTAGAAAAAAGACCTAAAATCACTTTTAATGAAAACCTGAGAGTTATTTGAAGCACGCTGAGCAATTTTAGGCATTAAAACTCTCTGAATTTGGGATTAAAACGATTTTTATGTAATTTTAGAGGATTAATGCATCAAAAATAAAACTGCTTCAAACTGGTTGAAATTGATAACACTTATTCTATGGCTAATTGTAAGAAACTTTTCTGTTAACTTTTTTTGGTAGAGTGCTGTATCATGGATTACTGTAACATAAAACTTATTCTACTTAGCAGATGTTTTCTTCAAAATTCTTGGGTAAATGTTTTTCTTTTTTTGATTAGATCTATTAAAATGCAAGAAATCTCAACGCTCCATATTTCAAAAAAAGAATTTCCCATGATATATTGTGCATCTTGACATCATTATCGATTGGAAACCTGCGCGTTATAACGGACGTGTTTCAAGTCCTACGGACATAGAAAACACATTTGTGTGATAACCAACGTGTTCTCAAGCATTCCTATCATAATTGTGATACACTGAAGTCTCTACGCCCTGTGGCATACCAAAAACGAAAACAGGTTTAATGTTACAGTAATCTATGATACAGCATTCTACCAAAAAAAGTTAACGGGAAAGTTTCTTACAATTAGCCATAGAATAAGTGTTATCAATTTCAATCAGTTTGAAGCAGTTTTATTTTTGATGCATTAATCCTCTAAAATTACATAAAAATCGTTTTAATCCCAAATTCAGAGAGTTTTAATGCCTAAAATTGCTCAGCGTGCTTCAAATAACTCTCAGGTTTTCATTAAAAGTGATTTTAGGTCTTTTTTCTACATTCGCACCCACCCGGATTCGAACCTGGGTGGTCAGATTACCAGTTTTGGTCAAAAACCACTACACCACGGAAAATGGGGGTCCTATTTTTGAACTTTTTAAAATTTGTCCTAGAGCAGAATTTTACGCTGATTACGAATATGAAAAAATTGGCTGTGGCTTTTTTGAAACAAACTTTTTATGGTCGATTTTTACCGACCGATGCAGTATCTTTATATGTTACCGAAACCGGATGAAATTTTTTTTGGTTTTATTGAACTCGTCACGCCCAAAAACCATGGTAGCCTTATTTTTATGACAAACGGACACCATTGCAGAAAGTTATGACGAATTACTGTATAAACAGAAAATTGTATAAAAAGTACAGTTAATGGAAGAATTAAGGAAAACTGTGGTTCGCTTTTTCTCTACAGGTGCCATGGGTCATAATAATGTAAAAAACTCAACATCGAAAAAATCCTATGTCCTGGCCTAACTGCGGCTTGCTTCAGTGACTCAGAAATCGTCTTTTAATTTTGATTTTTTCGCTGAAAAATCACGAAAAATTTGCAAAAATTCCCGCAAAATCCCTTTTGAACCCTCTGAATCACTAAAAACATGACTCAAAACGCGCTTAATTTCAAAATGCCTCCGGCTATTTCCCTTTCCAAATCAAACATTACTAAATAAGACTACTTTTTACAAACTATTTGGCGAAACGCGAGGACCTTTGCATATTTTAAAAATGGAATTGGATTATTTCGAACGAAGCGATCACTTTTTTTGGTTCCGCATTGAATTAAAAAATGTTGCCTGAGGCGATAATAGAAGTTTAAGAGTAATTCGATTACTTTGAAATGGAAAATAAGCAATTTGAGATTCGGAGAATTTGAGTATTCGATTTCTGGAAAGATTTTTTGGAAGAAATTTGCATAAAAACTCGGATTAAACGGTAAAAATCGCAAAAATTCCGGGAATTTCGGCGACTTTAGCGGGGAGAAAAGAGTTTATCGGAGAAGTAAAAACATTCAAAACAAAATTTGCAGTAATCATTTAGCAATACGAAGCCAAAAACTGAGGTAAAATCCGGGAAAATGATGATTTTTAGAAAAAACAAGCGGATTAACATCAAAAAATGTCGGAAAAATGAAATTTCTTTGACGTTTGCGCACAAAGTAATTGGCCATTAGTGTCAAACGACGTTATAGAGCGGTTTAGAATCTTTTTAGTTATTCGAAAAATTCAATTTTTATATAATTTTTGATGTTATAGCAACTTTTTCACCTAGAATTCATCAAAAATCTAAGAAAACGCTCTTTTACTATCTTAAATCACTACTCAAACTGTTTTTCCTTTCTTACCTTACTATTTGTTCATTAAATCTCCCAAAAAAATGATCAAAAAAATAGTGATTTGCGGAGAGATTATCGAAAAACTGTACCTTTAAAGTTTGTACCTTTAAAATCGGCCGAAAAATTTGATCCCCTGGGGGCATCGTTTTCCCGAAACGAAAAAAATACCTATCGCGTGATTTCAGGCCTCATTTCCCTTCCTCTGATTTGCATAATCCCCTTCTTTCTGACCTACTTTTTGTCTGCGCTCTCTCTTTCCCCGCAATCTTTTTTGAGCCGTTTCTCCACTTCAAACGCTCTCTTGGCTCTTGTTTTTGGGGCGTTGACAATGCCAGAGGGGGATATAAAAAGGCAAAAAGTGATCAGCCAGCTAAACAGCCAACAGTAGGAGTTATATTAGATTGTAAAGGCACTACTAATTATTCAAAAAAGAGAGAGTTAAATGGCATTATTAATGTCTAACTGGAGAAGCAGACTGCCGTTGGAGTTGGACCTGGTAAGACGAGATTCTGCGGCCATTTTAATTGCTGTTAATTAATTATTTTTTAATTTCTTTTAATTAATTTTTGATTTTTCCCCAAAAATTTGCTTTTTTCTCAAAATTTTGCAGTCTTTCTTGACAACTCACCTGCTGGTTAAACTCTGTAATCTCCCAAGGCTATCACTCTTCAAATTTATTCAAATTACCCCTAATCCCCTGAGGCAATGTCGGTTTTCATCCAAAAATTCGATTCCATTCCTGTCTGATTCCATTCTCCCGATTTTACTCTCTCAAATTCTATCGTCATGAGCTACGGAAACAGACAGGTAGGTGGGCCTTTGATTGTAAGCAGTAGCAACTGTAGAAAGTCAAGAAACAGCTGACTTCTGAGTGTATTGTAGTGGGGTAAACGTTGACAAACTGTTTTTTGGAGATTTTTGTGTGAAATTGGGGTGACAGATGGTGAGAAGAGATCATTTTTGAGGTGCTCTTGGTTTTACATGGCTGTAATCGTAGTCATGGCTTTTTTTAGGGTCTTATTGGAACCAAGTTTCTAGGTTTTTCAAGTTTTTTCAGTGTTTTCGAATTGTTTTCAAAATAAACAAACATAAAACTTTTCTAGAACAGTTTGGCCTTCGATAAAATGGGAAACTACTGTTAGTTTATGCAATATAGTTTAAGCAATCAATAATATTTTGCAATCATTGAGTAGAAATTGAAAGAGATTCTTCTTTTTTGTCTGCTTTTCAATAAAACTGGTAAATTCTTTGCATTTTTCTCCATAAACTTGAGAGATTTCACTATAACATGGCTGCCTATGGCAACTTGTCTGTATAGGGAGTGCTTTGAAAGATGTTTTTTTCAGATTCTTGGGGAAAATTTTGTCATCAAAGGTTGAAAAAACTGGCCTTTTTTGGATTTTTATCTGTCAGCTTTTTCATATCTTCTGGCCATAAAGATCGAACCGTATCTCAGCTGCGCCTGCAAAACAATAGCTAAAATTTTCAGTAAATAAAACGAAGGCTTTCAAGACTACCTATGCAGAGTTTAAGGTCTTTGTGACACATACCCTCGTAGATAACGCCCAAAAGACCTCTTGCTCATAAGGTCACTCTCTCCCCTTTCTTTTTCTCCAAATTATTACACTACTGATAAGCCGAATTACTTTGAAACCTCTGCTCCAATCAATCATCGATCCGTCCCCTTTACCTTCGAATTAAAATCTTTTTTCGAGTCGCGCTCCCTTCACTGTTTTAACACCCTCTCCTCAATACCCAAATGTTTGTTTTGACGCTTAATTTAAGAAAGTTTTGAGGCCGCGACTTGCTCAAAATCTCGAGTTCTACAAATTGCTTGAGGCACGCATGATCAGGGAGCTTTTTTCCGGTTGTTTACTCTATGTTCATAACCGATATTATTCTCTTTTTGTGTTTGCAGCAAATCGATCTTCTGATTGCATGAATAATATTGGAATTGATGGGGAAATTGGGGAGTTTATGGATGTGGGAAGTGTTAATTAAGGGAAATTAAGGGGCGAAAAGGTGTGATAGATCATAAAGTTGATATTATTTTCATTTTTCAGATGATTTGAAGTCTGAAATTGAGGGAAACTCAAATTTTTGCCTGATTTTTTTGGTTTTTTCGATGAGTTTAGAAAATTAATGTTTTCTTCAATTCTTTAAGTAAAATGAACAAATGTGCTTTGTTTATTATTTAGTTTGCATGTCTGCAATTAGTGGGTAAACACTAACATTCGCTATTTGCTCACCAATTTTATCTTATCCATCTTCAAGTCAGACCTCTTGGGTTCGAAAAAATGATTACTTTTTAAGAAAATTTTACTACTTTATTTCTTCCTAAACTTTCCTTTCTTTTCAAAAATTATAATTTCTATCGTTGCGCCTTCAGATTTCATGTTTTTCCCGTCACTTTTTTACCTTATCCATCCTTCAGGTACGGGTGAACGACGCTGGTCCGACGTCCGAAGCTCGGTTGCGCGACTACATCACATCCCGAGAAAATAGCGGCCCACAGTCTGGCCGCGACCTGCTTGGCTTGGCCCACCTCATCGACCGCCCGCAACGCAAAAACTCGGCTCCGGCCTCGCTCGACTTGAAGATGGACGAGGCGCGGAACATGGCGCTCCTCTTTTTCATGGACCACCTGATGCAGAAGAACGGTCGGCGGACGATCCACGACCTCAGTTGCCAGTTCGGAGCGCGCGGATTCACGCAGGAAATGAGGGATGCGGTGGGGACGACGCAAGAAGGACTCACCGAGTTCTTGTCATCATTTTCGTCCCTATTTGAGGTTGATGGAGATCAGGTGATCCTCAAGGGATTTGGGGAAATGGATGGGAAAAACCATTTGATGCAAATGCCTGCGGCTGGAAGGCAGAGGGATTATGAGAAGGAAGCGGTGGAATTTTTCGAGCAAAAGTTGCAAAAATTTGGACCAGAACTTCAGGTGAGGCTATCATGTCAAGTAGAACATAAAAAATCTTTCTAAAATCATAAAAAAAGTCTGACTCGGCCTTTAAAAGGTCCGAAAAGGGTTTTTTATTGGGAAAAATTTAGACAATCAAGTCTTAATGTGCATATTTTTATATTAATTTATTAATAAGTCGTCTTCAGATCAAAAGTTTGCTCGGCCATCGTTCACAGGCCGCTCCAGAAGTCCGTCTTGTCTCCGGCCGTCATCTCAAGGAGTTCTGTGAATTCCTCCAAACTCGCACGGAGCATTTTATTGTCGAAGGAGACCGTGTTCGTCTTCGGAACATGCCGGAACCGTCAGATGAGGCAGTTGAACTGGATGACGAAGGGAAACCTTTGGTCGGCGTTAAGGCCAAACAAGCGGCCGTCGATTTCTTGAAAGCGGTTTTGGAGCAAAATGAAGACCAGCCAATTCCTCTGGACAATTTTTATAAGCGCTTTTGTGAGCGCTTTCCTCATGCAGTGCGGCAGGAGGTTGCGACGAATCCAAAAGAGTTGCTGCAGTTCCTGAAATTGAATCGAAACATCTTCTTCATCCGCTCCAACAAGGTCAGCCTTGTGAAGGCGCGGCCAGAGGATGGGGAATCCGAGAGTGGCCGATCCACGGCCTCAGGCGAAAGTGCTGACAACAATAACGTCCTCTTCCCTCTGTGCAAGGACAATCTACACCGAATTCACATGGTCAAAGCGCTGAAACCGGCCACAGACACGGTTTTTAATCTGAGGAACGATCTGGAATCTCAGAGCGAGCGCTTCTTGGGAGTCGATTTCAAATTGGTCTTTTTGGGAGGAACTGAAGAGTTCCTGAGTCTGATTGTTGTGGCGTCGACCAGTCGAATCGCTGTGTTCGATTTGGCACATTCGGATTCGATTTTGTTGGAGAGTGGGCTGAAGGAGTTGCTGGAGGACGAGAAAGTCATGAAGGTAAGAAAATATCCCTCCTTTTACCATGAACATTATGTACAAACATCAAAATTTTATTTTCAAATTCTTTGACTCCAACATCTCATTTACAGGTGATCCACGATGTCCGCCGAGTCTCGACGCTGATGGCTCAACGTTACGCCGTCCACATGCGGAATGTGTTCGACACCCAAATCGCGCACACCATAATCCAACACGATAAATTGAACAAACCCTTGAATGAACTGCGTGCCATTACTTTCATCAACCTCCAACGAGTATATTATCCCCAATCTCTGATGCAGAGTGACATTACGCCGCGTAAATTGTCGCAAACGGTCTCCTGGGGTACCCGGCCACTCTCCGAAGACATGCTCTTGCAGGCCTCGGAGGAGTGTCATTGCATTGTGACCGCGTTGTATCGACTGTTGAACGGTCAAATGCCGGAGAAACTTCGGAAATTGTTCGAGCAGAAATGCCTGGAAGCACTGACGCCCAGTTCAACCAAACCGCCGCCAAGCTTGGCCAATGGGAGCAATGGAAATTCGGGTTCTTTTGAATTCCCCGCCAATCTTTATCGGTAAGTTAAAAGATGGTAAAATACGCTTCCTTTCGTAGTTGTAAAATCTTCTAATATTTAAAGATAAAGTAGGAGATCTTGACGTATTTTAAAATACAATTTATTTAAATTCAGACCCCCACAACGGCGTCAATCTTCCACGACTTCGGCCCATTCTCTGGGCGCAACTCCCACTCAAAATGGACGTCTTGTAAAACAACATTCGTCTCCCAATTGGGCCAACAACAACAATGGAACTCCTCCTCCAACGAACGGAGTCCTGTCGCCCGCTACTCCTCTCGCTCCACTCCACTGTACTGCCCCGTGTTGTGCGGGCCGTCCGAAAATGGCCGACTCGAGCACTCAGACCTTTTCCACGGGCGAAATCACCGTGTTGCAGGTGTATTATGAGACTTAGAGAGGCTAGAGAGCTTCAAGACCATCTGCAGTGATAATAAAAATATCTGCACTAGATCAACAAAAATTACCGCATCCCTAACATCATCTACAGCAAGACCAATAAAGATAAGATCCCCACCATCCAGAACATCCCAGATCCGCACCGTGTGTTGGATTTCGAATGTCGGAGAAGCCGCAAACCTCGACCAAAAACTTGATAAACCAATGGCGCTTCTCTCGAGCTGCGGAGAACCCGAAACTACAGTATGCGCCTTAAACACAGTTTACAGTATTCTCAGAGTCTTGTCTAGTATTATTTTCGTCCTTCTTGTTGCAAGTGTCTTTAACCTTTTTACAGTAGCCTTTTTTATGCTTTGTGTTACAGTAACCAAACTTTTAGCACCATCTATTTTCTCCGAATTTTCTACTGTACCCAAAAAAATTTTCTATGGCTTACTGTAACCCGAAAAAACTGTACCTTCTGTTGCAGTATCCCCATCCAAAAACAAGTCATATTGTAATGCTCAAATCTCTTGGATCGATGCCATTCTTGAGTCTGTCTTCTTCTGAATCTATCTGCTTCCTTCTGATGCCCTCTTTATCTCCTTATTCCCCTCTTTAATCCCTTCTTCACGCCCGCCTTATCCCAGTGCACATATCGTTGCGCAATTATTGTCGTATCTTAACACGTTTCTATTGTACAAAGCTACAGAGTAGGAGAGTATTTATTTTGTTTTCGTTCCCAATAAATGTTTACAATTTGAGGCGATGCGGAATGCCGCGAGCAAGAGAATAATTTGGTCGTTAAAACAAGATTTTTGTGGAGATTTACCGGATCCGTTAATCGTTCGAGCGAACGGTTTTTAAACCATCGCCTCAGGGCGGCTTTGCTGAAAACAGTTGATGGAAGAATGAGCGAGAGATTGGCGGCTACTTTCGCCTTCTCTTGCAGTCTTCTGGCGCTTCTGGTTTGCACGATTACTGTACCAATTTTGGTAAACAAAGTAAATGAGATCACAAGGGATGTGGAGAATGTAAGTTGGCAAAACATGGAGTTGTAGACGTCATAGGATATCTCGGAGTTTGATAAGATACAATCAACTGTTTGGCAGAGAAGTAAAGAGCTGAAAAGACCGTACATCCAAGAGAGAGTGCAGAGACAGGCAAGAGGAAGTGAATGCTGTAGGTGGACTCGATTACAGCATGAGTTCTAATGATTTTTAGTCTGCGAAGAGCAAAACAAATGCCCTCCAGGACCTGCTGGAGAGCCCGGCCCCCCAGGCCATGACGGCCAATCTGGTCTTCCTGGAACACCTGGAGTTTCTGGAATGGGTGGAAACCAACCGACAGTTCAGCTGGATCAAGAGCAAAACTGTCGGATGTGTCCGATGGGACCTGCAGGGTATCCAGGTCCTGCAGGCCCTCAAGGAGAAGATGGGCTGCCCGGGATGCAAGGAAGAGCAGGATCGCCAGGAACTAATGGACCTCCTGGATTACCTGGTAGACCGGGAGAACCTGGGACAGTTGGAGTGTCCGGCTCACCTGGCCCAGCTGGAAATCCTGGATTAGACGGATTTCAGACTAGCAATGGACTTCCTGGACCTAAAGGTAGGTATTTGAGCTTTTACAGTCAAAGTTTGCATGGTGTTTTTTCATATGATTGTTTTAGGCTATCCCGGAGACCGTGGACCTCCTGGATTGGAAGGAGTCGCCGGAATGCCCGGCCAAAATGGCGTCCGAGGCCCTCCCGGCCATCCTGGCCCACCCGGCGACGAAGGAGATCCAGGACTCCCTGGAGTGAAGGGAATGCAGGCAATGAATCAAGGAATCCCAGGGGCTGATGCTAATTATTGCCCTTGTCCAACGAGAACAGGACCTGAAACACCGGCAGCCACAGAAGAAAAGGTATATCAAAGAGAAATTGAGACAAATCAAGAGGCGTTCCCCGAAGATGACGCTGAAGACGATCAGGATATTGAAGCCACTGTTTTGGCTGAGAGTTCGAGGAAAACACAAAGAGTAAAGACTGCGAAGAAGAAGGAGGTAGAAAGCAAAGAAAAAATGAATGAGATGGAAAACAAAGAGGAAGAAAAAAGTGATAAAAGTTCGGAAGATAAGGGAAAAAGCGAAGAACCTCGAAAATCATCCATGGAAGAGATGGAAATGGCCAAGGACAAGATGATGGCGGATGATAAAAAAATGGGGAGAAGAACAAATCCCATGAAAGTGATGAAAGACACTGTGCAAGAGAACATGGATGACAGTAAAATGGAAAATGATGACAAAGAAGAGGAGAAAGTGAAGAATAATGACAAGAGGATTATGATTGGGGCCCGAAAGGGGAAAGTTGTCATATTGGAGGTCGAAAAGCGATCTGAGGAAATCACAGAATCTCCAGACGTCCGGAGAAGCCAGACTTACAATTTGGAGAAGTAAATCCACTTCGTTTATACACGTAAAACGTATTCCATTACCTCTTTTTTATTTATTTTTCCATCAATATAAACATACAATAATTTTTCTACAGTCAAGTACAGTCTATTGAGCAACCAACAAAAAAATTTTAATCAATACGAAGACCGTATTTTACATAACAGAGCCATTGGAGACACTCCCTTCCGTCGACGACTTTGAATCTTTTTTGATGAGATAAGCTGTCGATTGCGTGTCTGGATCCGCATGATGAACGTTCCTCCATCGACTTCGAGCAGAGTCGGTTCGATTGGTTGTCGCTAAAATACTCGGCAAACTCGGTGGAGGAGTCGCCTGTTCCACTTGATACGAGAATTTGTGACGATTGGGGGAGCTGTCCAAGTATAGGGAGTAACTTTTCTCCTCTTCCGCCTCTTTTTCCTTCGTTTTGCGGGTCTTCTCGACGATGAAATATTTGGATTGGCGACCTGGAAGAAGGCAGTAGAAAGCTTGTATTTTTACAAACAAAGTTTTTTGTAGACGTGTCAATTTAAAAACTGTCAAAAAACATGATTTTTGGGCAACTTTCTATTTGAATTTATCATTTTTTATAAGACATAACAAGATCACAGCCTTCCATTATAAATTTCTAAACCTTAGACTCCAGCTACGTAAAATGTCATCAAAATTTTTTATCGCCAACATCTCCTTTATAAAAAAATTCTTATCAAACTTACAGGTATATACAAACAATTCGCAGAAGAGCTCTGCACACTCGAGTACAGTAATCAAAGAAAATCCAATCCAAAGTCCGATGTTACCGCCAAGATCGGAGAACAAGTTGACCAACTGGAATTGTCATCATAAATTTTCGCCACTGACTTTGACGTAACGTATTTTAAACATGATCCACGTAACTTACCGTATAGCCAGCAGTCTCTTTCAACGTCTCATAGTTTAATTGTTCATAGTAAATTTCAATATAGGCAGTATTCAGCCGGTAATATTCGGTGCAAGCCTAACAAATGAAAAATACGAAATACACAGCAGATAGTCTTCTTACCACAGGATCATTTGCAATCTCCGGGATGTCCGTGCAATTATCGCCAAATTTAAAATTGAGAGCTGGCCAGGCCGCAGCCGAATAAGCCGTCTCAAACACATTCTCCGTACACGGTTGGACACAATGGCAATTCTTGTGGGTTAGACGATGAAACCCTCCCAAAATGGAGGTAGCATTTGTCAGACAAAGCCGATCATTCATGTTCCGAATGTCACAAGTGTGATCGTTCTCGGTGGGCAGCGGAAACCGGGGATCGCCGCAGCCACAACGCTCTAGAATCATCTGTTGGAAGCAGTTGCGATAACATCCTTCCGGAGAATAATGCTCGGCATAAATGTAGTTATCAGGTCGAAAAGTGTCGCTGCATTTTCCATATGGTGCATCTAAGCGATGGAGGACTTTCTAAAAGAAAAAATTAATAATATCATCAATAAGCCATATGATATTGAGATATAAAACATGAAGACTTTAACTCACTGTTTTAAGGCCAAAACTGGAGACGAATCCAGTGGGAGCACTGTAGCCAAAAGTATCGGGGAAAGGCTCTTGATCTTGCTCATGGACAACCAATCTGACACCCACAGCCTCCGTTGTTGGCAGATAATCGCTCTGGTTTACATTGAGAAGCAGTCGAAGACCATACATAGGGCCTGCTCTGCTGTTTTTCAACTCAACAGAGTCGTTGAAATTAAAGGTATAACAGTTTCCAAATTCAGGATCCATGTGGAGTTGAAAGTCCCTGAAAATTGTAAAATACGGATTTCAAAAATACGATTACTAAAAAATTTGACCGATTTGCAATAAAAGCAAAAAATCTTACCTTTCCTCGTCGCAATCCTCTCCATTAAACGAGCATCTCAACACGAATTCATTCAATTTGTAGCTAATTTTTTCTCTGACGTCTTTAGGCATCGCCGCCACCAAGAATATCAAGTTCTCCTTGGTCTTGATGGTTATCGAGCCTCGATCTCGCAGATCTCCCAAATTGAACTGACTATCCGCAGGTGGGGGAGTTGGAGCATCGGTCGCCGGATAAACCAAGTATTTCTCCGGATCCCACCATGGAATCTCCTCATTTACTCCTTTGATTATACAGTAATGCGAGATGGACTGACAAATACATTCTTCTGGAGGAGTAACAAACAATAGTTGAGTGAAATTCATTTTCTCCGGGTCATCGCAGGTCCGCGAATTTGAGCAGTTATAACATTGCTTCGGGGACCAGACAGTGGCCGGATAGCACGGCCAAATATCGCCGGTTTTGGCGTCTTCATAACATATACAGGTGCTGGTGTTGGTCTAGAAAGGAGGCTCATTTAAGACGCTTTAAAGCTTACGTTGAGTGGATTTCTTTGTGGGACACACTGGTCGTTGGGAGAGTTACAAACACATTGGACAAAGACGGGTTGATATATGACTTGAAGCTCGTTTTCGCGTTTTATTCGAACCGGCGCTGCCTCCGTTGTATTGCGCGTCTGAGCAATCGCTGCTTCGTACATTTTAAACTGTAATTTCAATTAGAGTTTGTATGTGAACAATATTTAAACCAAGTATTGATTTCTTGATAAGCCTACCCCTTCCTCGATTTCCTTGAACTTCCTCAGCTCGCTGAATTTGAAGGCATTCAAGTTGCAAATGGTGGCCGCGGGGAACGGCGCAGGCTCGAATTTCAGTTGCATTTCAATAATCGTACGATAGGTGAGATAATCGGACATGGTGAGATACGTTTGAGTAATGAAGATGATGAAAGCGACGGCAGTTATGAAAGACCAAATATAAGGGCCGAAGAATGAGTGGGTTCTGCAACAAATAGGCAAAAGTAACCCCAAAAACGATGACTAAATTCAAATTTAGCTTCGAAACCCACCCTATAAACGGTATACCATGCGAAGTGGTTCTAGCGCAAAAGTCTTTGAGGATGTCCTTGATGGACACATACTCCTGCGGGCCTTCGCTGATCAGGATCGAGCGATTCGCGCGTCTGGATGTAGTATACTGTCGGATGCGGTGCATCTCCTCGTCCTCGATGACCTCGAAGTACTGTCCATGCTGGCAGAAAGACGGGACATTCGGATCGGGCCGGTAAGCACTCAAGGCCGGCGGCCGAAGCCGCAGCGAACGGCCCGAACTTGAGGTCGAGGAGCGGTTGGAACTCATTCATCACACCCACCACCGGCCCGGCTGTGGAACACCCAAAACAAGCAGGATGGGGAGGTGATGGATGAAGAAGGGGACCGTCTGAATGTGTGGCCGTAGTGGAGATTTGTGGGCAGATATCTGAATGGGGAATCTGCAAAGAAAGAGGTGGACTATAGACAAGAAAAAGCGAGTGTTAGAGGACAAAAACAATTCTTATAGCTGGCTTAAGGAAAAAATATTTTCGCAAAATATGACAAAGTACTCTGTGATCCTTTCGACTATTCTAGTCATGGCTGATCATACACAAATAGATACAAAAACTCAAATTCTCAGCCCTGAATGAACGAAAAATCCGCGGAGGCCCTCAAAAGCATCAAAGAGTATGTTATACTAGTCATGTTGCGAAGCTTTTTTCGTACAAAATCTCCCAAAAAAAGTAGATGAAACTCAATTTGAAGTTTGCTTTCGTCGCCCTCACATCTCCCCAAAGGGATATCTCCGGCGCCGCGATTAACGACTTTTATAAACCGTTGAGACATTTTTTGAGCCCACAAAGATGGCCAAAAAGTGTCGTTCCGACCAAAGATTTGGGCAGAAAAAATATTTTTTTGTCGCCAAACACCCGGATAAAGACGAGCCCAAAAAAAGTTTGGAGAATTGATGGGGGCCACTGATTTCGGGAAAGGGGAGGGGGAGGATGTCGCGCAGGCACCCGCGTTACAGTCCCTCAGGGCTTCGGAGAGGTCGGGTCTCTGGTCTCGAATGGGTTGCGAGCGGTTATTCGGAGTGCATTAAACGGCCGAGAAAAATGTCTATGGAGATGAGGAAAACAACCCCGAAGCATCAACCGAAAAACACTTTAATTTTCCATTCAAAAGTGCTGTAGTTAGGACATGTGGAGTTTAATAAACTGAAATAAAATTTGCATATTTCACTCACCTTTTTGACCTCCGCCGGAAAAGAATCTCAGCGTGAGTCTACGTCAAGTTTGAAATAGCTTCCGGTCATTTCATTGCCTTTTCCTCCTCTCGTGAACCTGTTAATGTCTTCGTATTCAAAACTATAGGGAAAGTAAAATATTTTTAGTATCATAAAAAACCATTCTAATATGTTTTAACACCGTATACTTCGTTGTAATCGCTTCTTTGCCAATTACGCCAAATTTACCCCACAACGTGTTTAGCGTGCCCGTTGAAAGGACTTTCCAACCGATAAATCTAAAAAAAGTTTCAAAATTTCTTACTTTCCAATTACACATCGCTATCGTATGATGCCTAAATCGTTAAAATACGAACGAAACATTAAACAGAAAGACAACAAACTTACGCGCGTCTCTACGGTACAGATTACACCATTAATGAGAAGGGAATGGCAATTCATTGGATTTCCAAACACGATATATGAATTTCTATGCATAGTCTAACTTACGCCTTGTGCACGGTTAATCGACATAGCATGTGATGACAAATAATAACACAAGTAGTTGCCGGTTCTTCGGCGAATAAAACCTTTAATTCTATGTTAATATTTAACGTGAACTTAGACATGTAAAATTAGTTCATAATTACGGGTGATTAGTCTCATGTTGATTGAACATATCGCTACAACCAAGGGCTGCAACCATTAACAATTACGCAACGGACGTTGTCGACTCATCTCTAGACTATTCGAGCCTACGTTTCAGCTATGGAAAGGCAGATCGCATTCCACAGCACTCGAAGTCTACGAAGACTCCTTTGGAAGAAAGCGCGGCGGTCTGGACTGGGGCTTAGTCCAGCGAGCGGCTGATTTGTGCTTCTTGCCGAATTTCCTCGAGCTCTTCTGGTTGGATTGAAAAAGATGAATACTTGGGCGCGTGGTTGCTATTTTTAAATTATTATTAGGGTGAACCAAAAAAAATTTCCCCTTTTTTTATTAAAAATTTCAACGTAATTATACAACAAATAAAAACCAGTTGAGTTTCAAAGTAAAGGCCATTTGAATCTATGGCTTGAACCCATCTATCGGCAATTTGTGCGATCCCGCTGCGGTACCACTCCTTGTTATTACGCATAGTTCTATTGCTAGATTGAAGTCGAAATTAAAAAGTGTTGAAGATGATTAATTTAATTTAATATACAAAAAAAATATGAAAAATGCCTATTCAAATTACGCCTTGTGCTCTATTAATGGTCATTGCAAAGCAGTATCTATAAAAACAAGTCACTTACTGAGCAACTAAAATAAGAAGAACTAGAACAAAACAACCCTATTACCCCTAAAAATGAATTGTTTGAATTATAATATTCATCACTTGTGACAGTCAAAAGAAATAATACAAAAAATTACGCAAAATTTTCCCCAAAGCGAGTTTAATTTTTTTCGAAATTGAAGACTTACTTTATCGATGTTAATTACGGACAGTTTACCCCAAAAACTGTTTAGCTTTTTACAGACTGAAAAATTAATAAGCATAAAATACGCAGCTGTATGACCTCTAACATACAAATTAAAACTCGAAATTTATGTGTTAAATCTTTAAAAAAATTATATTGTACTATATATGTATTCATCGACAAATGTAATATATATGGAATTTGCAACACTTTAATATTTATCAATTATATCTGGCTCATACTCGTCAAGATGCCAAAGGCAATTATATCAAAATATATGCGATAAATGAATAATTTCGTAATATATTTTGTAAAAAATTAATTTATTATATCTATTCTAATGAATAAATAATATAAGAAAAAATCAGGGCCAATGAAGAAAAACAAGAGAATCCCACTTTGCCACCTGCTTTGAATTAAATTTAGCGCGGAAACTTGTTTTTACAGAAATTTTGAGTAAAAATTCGATTGTGACATTTCGTCCGACGAAGTGTCAAAATCTAAAAAAAAATTGGGCGAATTTGCATGTCCATGCACACAAAAGTTTGGCCAACAAACGTTGCAACTCCGTCATTTTCAACGTTGCAAACCATCCTTGGATATTCTTACCATTTTTTACCCATTTTAGAGACCTTTTACGAGTATAATATTTTTTTCCGACTTTTACTCAATTTATGTATTTTAGGTACCCTGATCTTGTCTTTTTTGATTGCTCCTTTGATCGAAGAATGGCTGCAGTTACTCATAAAGTGTTTTTCGACATTACAGTTGGTGGAAAGAAGGAAGGCCGAATTGTGATTGGTCTCTATGGCGATGTTGTGCCGAAAACTGTCAAGAACTTTGTCGAATTGGCCAAGGGATCGAAAGGATTTGGCTTCAAGGGCTCCAAGTTCCATCGTGTTATTAAGGATTTCATGATTCAAGGTAAAATTTATGTTATACTTGGTGTTTTTGATGTTTAGATCAAGTTGAATGGGAAAGAGTAAGATTTCTGGATGATTAATGGTGTAACAGTAGAGCTAGAGAGTTGATAGGACTTTTCGAAAAGAAATTTGTGGCCGAAGGGGTTTTTCTTTTGATTTTTCGACATTTTTTGCATGTGAGCTACTATAATATCTGAGGATTTCTAAAATTTAACTTTTTAGGCGGAGATTTCACTCGCGGCGATGGCACTGGTGGCAAATCTATCTACGGCGAGACTTTCCCCGACGAAAACTTTCAGCTGAAGCACACTGGACCCGGCGTTTTGTCCATGGCCAACTGTGGAAAGGACACCAATGGATCTCAGTTCTTCTTGACCACTGTGAAGACCGCTTGGCTTGATGGAAAACACGTCGTTTTCGGTAAAGTCGTCGAGGGAATGGAGGTTGTCCGTGCTGTCGAGAATCAGAAGGTCAACGACGACGACAAACCCTTGAAGGATTGTGTTATCGCTGATTGTGGGGAACTCAAGTGATAATTTTGCTCATCTAAGTCGGGTTATATGTGTTTTGATCTCGATTTTCTATCGTGTATGAGGTGAAGGAATAAAATATGTGTGAAAGAAACTTTGAGGATTGATTTTTTTATATTATACTAGATACTTATGTGATTTTTTGGAAAAATTGGGTTGAAGGTGCTAAATAAAGGATAAGTTGGCATACAGTTTGATGTAAAATGGACGTAAGGACTGATTTTGCATCTTATCTTTCGGATATTTTGTTACTGTTCATGGAGAAATCATCACGGATTTTTTTCCTATGATGAAAGATGTAAATGTGTGTGTGCTGTGCGTCCGGCAACGAGAGAGTGGCGAGAACAAAGAAGGTGCGAAAGGGTTTGTCTGCCTTTCCTTTGTGGTTTGGGTCCATTTACGCGAGAGAGCGTGGGAAAATTAGAGAGTTCACTAAAAAAGGTAGTTTTTTGGCTCAATTTTGATTAAAAAATTGCAGAATTGTTACAAATAGAATACCAAAAAAGCATTACTTTTTCAAATCATACCACTCCATTTAAAAAATCGTCAATTTCAGGTGGGAAACTGTCATGTTTTTTTCCATTTTCTCTAACTTCCTCACCCCACAGCGGGACCCATAGACAAAGCAAGAGCAGAAAAGCAGAGCAGATCCAAATTCACCCGTTTCCTTATCGCTTCTCGGCCTTTTGGCTAAGATCAAAGTGTAGTATCTGTTCTTATCGGTTTAATCTCCGGTACGACTTCTATTGAAGTCATTCGAGATTAACAGATTTTTGGGACCAGCGGAGTTGTGAAGGCTTGCCTTCCGCTCGGCACGGGTCGGCCCGGTCTTGCACTACTTCCGGGAACGGCCCAGATATTATTATAATAAACAACAAAGTAACCGTATCTTGGAATTTTATCTACTGTTACTTCGACAAGTAGAAATTTTATGACAAATTCGCAGTATGAACCTGGTTTTTTGGACCCTCCACTACCGGAACAAGTTGTTTTTTTCGTCCAAATCCTATGTCATTGAACTCAACCGTTCGTGCATGTTCCCAAAACTCTTACAATTCGAAACTCCACCGGAAGCACGTGAATTCTCCGTTCGCCTGCAATGCCCGTACAAACTGGAGTTCGGGAGGTCATAACGAGTGCAGGGACTAAATGGAAATGTGTGAAGACGCGTCGAAAATCGCCTGAGGGCCTAATTTTGAGTGTTTATTTTGTGGGCACGAAACTCGGGGCACAAAGTGTAATTGAATAGAGCAAATTTTATTTATTTTCTCGCGACAAAAAATATTTTATGGGCTTTATGATCTAAATTTTATTAGGTGTGCTTTCCATGCGGGCCGGATTCCGTTTTCGTGGACGGCATTCCGTTTTCTGGGCACTTCTTCTTTCATTTTTATATATGTATATGTTGGTATTATGCTGTAGAAAACATTTTAAGAGTAATTACAAGTCATGTAAACGTAACTTTAGGACTCTAGGAAGATAGTAAAATCGCCGGGGAAACATTAAAAAACTGTATTTTTGCGAACTTCTCACCCCCGTTTCCTATTTATAACCCCATTACGAACAAGTGTATCGCTCTCAATTCCCCATCCGTTACTCTCGCACATGATTGCGAACTGAATATTCGAGAAGTGCGACAAAATGATAAACGAGGTTTGGGTTCGGCATGCCCTCGGGGAATGGAGTCGGCGATCCTCTGACTGCCTCCGGAATCTACAAAGCGTCATATTTGTTTATGGCCAATTGTTTTGCTAAAAGTTTTGCCGTTTATCTTGAGACTTTTCCGAATTTTCAAATTGAGTTTGAATGGCGTATCGGCGAAACTAGCGATTATTTGAGAATCTAGGGCAAATTAGAGATTTTGCTTGATTTTCGGACGATTAGCAGGTGCAATGTCAAACTTCTGGCTCATAAAATTAATCAAATTTATCTTCGATTTGATTGAATTTAGTTTGATAATATAATAATATCTGGGCCGTTCCCGGAAGCAGTGCAAGACCGGGCCGACCCGTGCCGAGCGGAAGGCAAGCCTTCACAACTCCGCTGGTCCCAAAAATCTGTTAATCTCGAATGACTTCAATAGAAGTCGTACCGGAGATTAAACCGATAAGAACAGATACTACACTTTGATCTTAGCCAAAAGGCCGAGAAGCGATAAAGAACTGGGGGAATTTGGGTCGGTTCTGTTTTTCCGCTCTTGCTTTGCTTATGGGTCCCGCTGCGGGGTGAGGAAGTTAGAGAAAATGGGAGAAAATTACGTAATTTTATAACGGTTTCTTGCGCATTTTAAAGCAGAAGAAGGCTAGATAATTTGCAATTTACTGGTATTTTTACAACTTATTTTTATTTCAGAAAGTTGTAGTTTTGATTTTGAACTTTTTTGAAAGTAAAATTTTTTAAAATTTTCTTCCAAAACTTACATAAACCTACTAATTAAGGGTACCGCAACATTTTCTAATATGTGAATTTTGTTGAATTGTCTCCGTAAAAAAATTACAGCTTATAATTTATACTATTTCAGACATAATTTTAAAAATTCCACTCTAAACTCTTGGGCTCATAATAAATCAATAAAAAATGCCATTCAAATGAAAGACAGGTGTTTCTTGCACGGTAATATCAACTGTTACTGTGTGAAAACGTCCTTTTTGTTTTTTGTTTTGCAAGAAAATAGTAATTTACTGTCTTAGAATTGATGTATAACCATCGGTGCCAAGTGTAACATCTTATCCCAGACCTAAAAATATCGTTTGTCACAGTATCCTTTCGCATAAAATGCCCGGACCTTTGGTCAACAATATTTTTAATTTACTCCGAGCGACATTCCTCGGCCAAATCTTGCCATAAAATTGGTGCGGATCAAAACTTTGAAAAAACGAGTCTCATTTTTTGTGAGAGTTTTGTCGCATTCCCTCCGGGGAATAGGGGGACGTCAAGCGACAAAATGAAAAAAGTGGAAATGTTGGAAAAGATGTTAGAAGACACGTTCTCCATGATTTGGCCGAGGCGCCGTTATCTGGCCTGGGAATCGGAAAATTTGGAAAGATTCTTGAGGTGGGCGATGTTTGTAGATAAAAAGAATGTAGGAGGATAGGATTGCAGAGCAATTTGTTGTCTTGACCATATAAATTAATCTTGTTTATCTCCAATGATTTTTCAATATGAAATCAAAAATTTTGGGTCCCACCACGAAAACCTGAATTTTTGAAAATCCATAAAATTTTGGTTCTAATCTCTTGACTACCTCCAGAAAAGTTCTTCCGAGCGATAATTCGAACGCGACGCACGATATCGCGGTCTGATTCTGACCAAAATTCGAGGCCGCGAGAAATTCCCAGGACTTTTTGAGTACTGTTTTCCCTTTCCAATTTCCCAAATGACCGGCGAATTTTTGCAAAAATGCCCTTAGGGTATTTTTGACATTTTATGGGGTTTTTGGAAAATTAAAGGGTCTAGCAAGAGGGGCGATAAACATGGGGTAATAAGAGGGGATTCATCGGAACATTGATGACGACGTGCCGGGGGAAAAGATTGTCACGGTTTTCATTGGGTGCTTGGAGAATGTAAACAGTCTAATGACCCTTTTATCTTTTTTTGGATGTCTGATTTATCTGAAAATAGAGGAGTTGGAGACGTTTGAAAGCACAGAACATAGTTGAAGGACATTTGTGTGTTCGTGTAATGGAAAGAATCAATTTTCACAAAGTTAAATTATGATAAATCGAAGTAGAATGTGCCATTAAATACATGCTAAACATGTGAGAAAATTAAAGGAAAATCCTTACTTTACAGCTCATTTTTTATCGGAAATTTCAAGCTTTATCAAATTTTATGCAAAATTTTGTCCAAATCTTTGCACGCCAAGCCTCCTTGTCCCCCCTCCACCCTTCATTTCAGCCCTCAAATATTCAGAATCCCCCCTTCCGTGCCGCCAAACTCCATTTCCCTTCGCTTTTTTGAAGATCATCGAATTTGAATTCAAATCTTTTCCCCTCTCCTTCACTTCCTTATTCTCCCAACAATGCCTGGAAATTATTGGGCGGCTCTCTCAGCATGAATTCTCAAGAGTTTGTTATAAAATTTATTACGTTTATTTACACGCCGCGACATCTTGTCGACGTGCACAGAAAGGATTCCGGGCAGTTTCCATGGAAAATCATAGGGTTGTCGTCTTCGGGGTTTGTCATTCCAGAAGAATGAAGAGGAGAAGAGGGGAAGGGGAGGGTGTGGTGGAATGTTTAATCGTCACATTCTCTTAGAGCTTTTTCAGAGACCCAATGGTACTGTAGGGATCGTAGGCCAGTTACTAAAGGTCGGAAAATCGTGAAAAACCCCGTTTTTCTTCAAAGGAAAATTTTATATTTTTGAGTTTATGTATGCTATACCTTTACTTGGAACCTATTACATGCAAACCTGAAAAATATTGGGTTTGAGTAATTTGGAATTCATGTTTACCATGCAAAGTGCATGTCTAGATTTCTTCGCCAGCAGTTTTGTTTTCATACCCAGCTTCGGCTTGGAGGGAAATCATTGTCTTCTAAAGATGAGATGAGGTAGTGCAAAATGTTTTCAAAATTTTAATGGAATTCTGCTTCGGACAGCTTCTGCAAAAAAGTGGACTTTTTTTGCGCAAAAATATACCTAGAAAATAATATTTTTCTCTGACGCTTTCTTCGTTTTTTATTGTGTCTTGCAAATATGCGAGAGTTAAGGCTTTCAAGAATTGAAACATGGTCTAGAAAACTTGAAGAATATATGGGTGTTGCACACTGTAATTTATTTAAATTATTTATTATTTTGCGAAAATGAAAACCGTATCCTGACTTTTCGCGCCGGCGCAGTTCGGGTCAACACAAAATCGATCGATACGGGGCGTAGGGCAGGTAGATACTCAAAGAAAGGTTTGGGAAGTGCCTACGAGGCCTGACAAAGCTGTTGGAATGTCGGCGGAGGCTCGGCGGAGACTTGGCAATACTTGCAAAATGTCCGCTTTTTCTAGTTTT